TCAGAGTACGGAATATAAAGCCAAACTCAATACCATTTAGTTCATTCAATACCCGCGCAATACGGATGCAATGGGCGCTAGTGTTGCACCTCAAGAGTACGACATTTTACAATAAGTACCAATTTCGATTGATCGGAATTGGATTCAAGAGTATGTCCCCAGGTTACTCTGAAAATAAAATAAATATGCATAAAGAAGACGTATATAAATAATTACCACCTACTTAGAATTATAATTAAAACACGTAAAAGGAAAATAAATAAAAATATTAAAACGAAAGAGACTGTATAATTTTATATTAATATCACGCTCCTATTTAAAGTTGCTAAACGCTAAAAAAAAAACAATAGGCCAACCGATAATATTTTCCAAAAAAACGAGTTTTTATTTGAAGTAAATAAATACATACATAAGTTGTTGCGCAGGAGCATTGAGATACAAGATTATCTTAAAAGCATATTAATTACGTTTAATTATTCGTTATATTTTGCTTTAATATTTTAACGTTTAAAGTGCCAAAAACCAGTTTAAATAAAGTGTTTTTTTAAACAACAGCCTGTAAGTATGTGAATAAAATAAATTAACATACGATAGTAACTTCGGCTTCTGACTTCTGGATGCGCGTTCTGTTTAGTTGATTATTTTGATTCAATAGTGACATACGGACATACGTGAAGTTCTTATATGGAAATGTTATAACACATATTTCTAGTTCAGGTATTTATAACAGTTATCCACATTACCTTTAAAATTGCAATCATTTGACATTAGGATTTTTTTTCATGACCATGCCTTATACGTGACTTATAAGTAATAATTGTCATAGTATTTTCAATTTCATTTCATCAAATCATCATGATCTTAAACTTTTTGACTTTTGTAAGGAAGAAGTCCTTTCAAAAATCAAAAAGCATTTATTTCATACATAACATAACATCATGCCTTTTATCCCCGAAGGGGTACAGAGGTGCACATTATGCCGCTGTACAATGTAACACCCACTTTTCACTGTTTATGTTATGCGTCCCATGTAATAGGGCCTATTGCCATTTATTTCAATTAACTCGTTGAGATGAGAACCGTCATTATAGACACAATTAAAGAACAATAGGTTGCGGTCACCGCTGACCGCTCGGTGTTTGACAGTTTAAACCATGATTTGATACTTTTGAAACGTCAACAAATACAAAATAAATAATAGGCTGTCTGTCTGTCCGTCAGTTAAGCTTGGTGCTCGTTCCAAAATGTAGTGCATAATTCTTTTATTTTTTATTTTTTTTTTTTATTTTATTTATTTGGGAAAATTAACAATTATACACTATAATAATACATTATAACAAATATCAAAGTATAGAATAAATGTATAATCAACGACATTCTCCACAGAATACAAAAAAAAAAGTAGTTAAAAGAAGTCGTACAATTTAGGTAGGCACACTACATACATAAATTCACAAACAAAACTGATACAGTCATAAACCATAGTTTACAATGTGTCTAAATTATAAATTTTTACATTGGTAAAAAGGAAGCGATAACATAATTAATCAAATACAACAGTTAATGAATATACGGTTGGTACGGTGGCTGGGCAACCGGCTGCCGTGCAACGTGTCGCGGGTTCGATTCCTGCACGGAACAACACTTTGTGTGATCCACAAATTGTTGTTTCGGGTCTGGGTGTGATGTGTATGTGAACTTGTATGTTTGTAAACGCACCCACGATACAGGAGAAAATCCTAGTGTGGGGCAACGTTAAAAAAAAAAAAATATGCATTGTATGTTTAAATGGATATATAAAAAAAAACACCTTAAAAATGTATCTATGAAATAATTATTGAGTCCAATCATTACCAGATTCCCGGACAAGGTTTCTGAATTTATTTTTAGACGCTGCGAACAAATCAATGTGGCTAAAATATTTATTGTACTGATCAGCGATGCGACGTAAAGGTGCCCTTAAGCCTGCATTAGTATGACATGAGCCAACGAAGAATACAGGTCTCAAGCGCACCCCACGGCTCACTATTGTTCTGGGCACTACATACCGCATTCGATTGGAAATGTCCATACAGTCATATGCATTGTTACATAAATCATACAAAAACATATACATACATACATACATTCTTTTAATATATATATGTGTAATCGTAGTGATCAATAATTATTGATCACTACGGTTACACATATATGATTATAATCATTCCATATCTGTATGAGATAGAGCAAAAAGGCCTTTGCACTACAGAGGAATAGATAATATCGTTTCTTAAAAAAAAATGTAATGCGCGATGTTTTTGTTTTAAATTTCGAATTCTATATTTGTAAACTTAAAAACATTTATGGTAATGCTGATGGCACAAATAACCGGTCACATTCCTGACTTGCTCTTAAATACCTTCTACGTTTAAGGTCAAAACGTTTTGCAGATGAAAAGACCATTTAAATAGGACCTGTAATGTGCTGGTTTAATCTGCAAGTAAGTACAGTTTTGAAGTACAGTTATATTAAACTAGCTACGTCCGCGCTGTTTCACACGTTCTGCTCAGCTCCTATTGGTCGTAGCGTGATGATTTATAACCTATAGCCATCCTCGATAAATGCACTATCCAACACAAAAAGAATTATTCAAATCAGACTTAGTTACGGAGATTAGCACGTTCAAACAAACAAACAAAAAAACAAACTCTTCCGCTTTATATAAGAATATAAGATTTAAATTGTTCAATACTTATTCACTAGTGCTTAGTGTATTTGATGATGATTAAGGTTCCTGATGTCAAGTTCCTGTTACAAATTCATTTACTATAAACAATCTTAATCTAGAATCTATGGATCGATCTAAGTTTTTAATACAAACTCCATAAAACTGATAAAAATAAAAATCGATTTTATTAATTGATAGTTTTGGATTGAAAGACCAAGTGTGGTCCTTTTTGTAAGTGTTGTTGTTGTTGTGTGTTCGAACACTAAATATAAATAATTTATCACTTTCGAAAACAACTCTAAATAAGTAAGTTAATATTCTGTTACGTCATTCGGACAAAAAATAGGAAAACAAGAAAGTGTTTATTCTAATCTAAACTTTTCAGTGAAATAAATAGACGTATGCTGGAATACTGAAACGTTACTCAATTTTAAGTCGTGCTTAAATATCGTGCCGTCTCTGTCATTTTACAAAGAATTTGTAGAGACAGAACTATACTTAAGCGCGACTTAAAATTAACTCGTCGAGTACCAGTTTTATAGACACAATTAAAGAACAATAGGTCGCGGTCACCGGTGACCGCTTGGTGTTTGACAGTTTAAGTAACGTTTAAATATTCGGGCAGTAGTGTTGTATTATTATAAGTAGTGACAATTCCTGCTGCATTTATCGATATTGTTCTTAAACAAGAGTTGAGCTACGTAACTATATTGGCGCTAAATTAAAAAGAAATTAGTGCCGTCGTTGAGACCTAATGAGTGGATCATTGTGCAATTATTATTGATTTTTTTTAAAACATTGCCCCGCTTTAGTATTTTTTTTCCTGTGTCGTTTAAACTGTCAAACACCGAGCGGTCACGGGTGACCGAAACCTATTGTTCTTTAATTGTGTCTATAAATATGGTACTCGACGAGTTAAAGTTAAACATACAAGTTTACATACACAACACCCAGACCCGAAACAATAATTTGTGGATCACACAAAGAGTTGCTCCGTGCGGGAACCGAACCCGCTGCACGTTGCACGGCAGCCGGTTGCCCAGCCACTGCACCAACCGTGCATATTTACACCTACATACAGAATTGGATAGTAAAAGACATATCTATAATTTGAATCAACACAAAATAATTGTCGTCATCGACATAAATTACTAAAAATACCTAGTGTTGAATATTCAATGTTTAAAAAAAATACATAAACAGCAATGGCTAGACAATAAAGGTCGTGTTTACAATACATTCGTGGTTGAATACTCTGTCACGTTTATTTCACGTGTGATTTTTAACGCGTCACAATTTTATTAAGTACTTAACTATTTATGTATGTACAATATTAGCAGCTTACATAATATTGTATAATTTAACACTTTTATTGGTACTTCCCCAGTTCCACCGTATCAGGTGTTTGGACAAAATATTACACTTTTTTCTTTCTTAATATTTCATTCTACATTACGACTACGTCAATAATACATACTACTACTACATCAAGTTACATTATACAGTGGCATTTAGTGCCGTAATGTGCACCTCTGCCTACCCCTTCGGGGATAATAGGCGTGATGTTACATTGTTATATAATTCTTTCTTAATTTGATTATTTATTTTTTAGATTTTTGTTTTTTTTTTCTGTTTCATTTTGTTTCTTTTTTCATCATTAGATAAAAACAACGACCTTCAATTGTAATAAAAATAGTATAACCTATTTAGGACTATTTATGACGACTAATTCTAAGACACAATGGTAGGTAGGTACCTGTTAAGTAGCTGTTAAACCAAAAAGAACGTCAAGGAATTAACATACCCGAAACAAAAGCAATACCTATTATATTTAAGGAAATGAAATAATTAAAAGTCCCAGAAATAACATAACATCACGTCTTTTATCCTCGTAAAGCTGCACATTACGGCACTTAATGCCACTGCACAATGTAACACCCACTTTCCACTATTTATGTTAAATAAGTCCCATGTAATAGGGGGTGAGCCTATTGCCACACACACAATTCCAGATTCCGTGCTACTACTGGATTTTTTTTTAAACCCAGTAATACTTTGCCCCAACCGGGAATCGAACCCGATACCCCTTACCCGGCAACGCCCTTTCGACCACTCGTCCAACGACGCAGTCATGAAACAGATTCTTAAACCCGTTAATAAAACACATCCAGAATGTTCTAGCTATATGTAAATTGCATTGTAATTAGAATACCCAGGTGTAGACATTAGTATTAGCATATAAATAGTTACCTATATAATGTATGTTAATAGTCTATGTTTTGTATTTCAGACGGACAAGATCCCTGAACGCGCCCTCGCCGATACAGCAGTTTGGACCATGCGGCAGAATAATGAAAAATTCGGCTATGGTTATGTGAGTATTATCTTAATTACTTATTTTCTATTTAATGGCATAAGCTGGTAAACGAGCAGACGTATCACCTGATAGTAAGCAATCGGCGCCGCCCATGGACACCCGCAACACCAGAGGCGTTACAAGTGCGTTACCGGCCTTTTGGTGATTAAGAATTTGAGGATCGTTGGGGACTTACAAAACACTGTTTTATTTCGTCACCACTAAACACAATATTGTGAGTTCAGATATCGGACCTGAGCGACAAAGAATTAGGTACTTGCCAACTAGTTAAATTCAATACTTTTTTCGAACTGTCAAAAACGACAATTTTGTATGAATTTTGTATGAGATTGTGTATTGTGACGCCACGTTTTTTTAGCGTCAAACAGCATACTTTTTTTTATTGATTTACTGGAAAAATACTAAAATTAAGTTGGTTATAAAATCACTGCCTCGTTGGCCGAGTGGTCGTAAGTGCGACTGCCGGGCAAGGGGTCTCGGGTTCGATTCCCGGGTCGGGCAAAGTATTACTGGGTTTTTAAATATTCTCAGAAGTAGCACGGAGTCTGGAATTGTGCCCGGTATATGGCAATAGGCTCACCCCCTATTACATGGGACTCATAACATAAATAGTGAAAAGTGGGTGTTACATTGTACAGTGGTATAATTTGCACCTCTGCCTACCCCTTCGGGGATAAAAAGGCGTGATGTTATGTTATGTTATAAAATCAATTGACTGTTGTGTGATTATCTTTTAATATTTTATTGTATTGAACAGTCGAAATGATTTATTTTTAATTTAGAAAAGTACCCTAAATCTCGAACAAAATGCATAGAAAACTATCGTTTTTTCTAAAAAAGTAATGAATTTTACTAGTTGGCAAGTACCCAATTATGTACTTAGTTAATGTGAGAAAATGTTACATAACCTTTACACAGATCGCAACAAAAAATCTAGGTGTACTAAACCAATAGATACCTAACAATTGAAGCTAGACTGGTGTATTTTTTGTCGCTTCACGATTTTTTCTATACACAATCAGTTAGCGGTTGTATAACGGCCTTAACATTCATTAAGACGTTTATTTTTAGTTACCTTCGCAAGAAATTGTTTATTATTTATAACTTACTGTGAAACAAACACTACAATTCTAAGTAAATCAATCAAGGTTAGTCTTACATACTACATATCTTATACTAATCTTATATACTTATAACAACATAACATCATGCCTTTTATCCCCGAAGGGGTAGGCAGAGCAGAGGTGTACATTATGCCACTGTACAATGTAACACCCACTTTTCACTATTTATGTTATGAGTCCCATGTAATAGGGGGTCAGCCTATTGCCATATACCGGGCACAATTCCAGACTCCGTGCTGCTACTGAGATTTTTTTTTAAAAAGCCCAGATATACTTATACTTACTATATTATAAAGCTAAAGAGCTTGTTTGTTTGTTAGTTTGTTTGTTTGAACAAGCTAAACTCAGGGCCTACTGGTCCGATTTGAAAAATTCTTTTTGTATTGGATAGTCCATTTATCCAGGAAAGAGGCTATAAAACATCACGCTATGAACAAAAGGCGCCGAGCAGAGCGAATGAAACCGCGCGGTGGTAGCTAGTAACGCATAAGTATTAACGATATATCAGTAGTTTACACAGCAATAAATTCATTCGAGTTAGTTTTTTGACATAATTTATCTATATGGGAATTACACAGAAAATCTGTATTTAAATTAAAGACTTGACTTACAAATGTGATTACTTTGCCCAAAGCCAACTCTAGAGAATGACTTTGGGTCGCTCAAAATATTATTAAGTGTTTCTAAAATTTCCAGTAAGAGAGCCTTGATCTAAAGATGTGATAAGATAATGATGAACCACAATGCCCCATAAACAAATATAGTGCTGTGCTGATTCACTATAATACAACGGTTTCTATAACTAGGAACTCCTTATTCAAGAAATAATGATCTAAATGTTATGTTTATCCAGATTTCTAAGGCTTTTCCTGCTGTTGATTACAGGCAAATCCAGGACCCGGCATCGCAGCGGCTGACGTGGTACAAACCGCCGCTGACGGTTCTGGTCATCAAGAAGGTCCATGATGCCACCATCCTGGCGCCCTTTGTGCAACTTGTACATTGGCTCGTTCATGTAAGTTACACTTCTAATACTTTGTCAATAGAACATCTAATCCTCTATCCTATGTAATAAAGTACTTACATATCTACAGTGATTTAGTAACAAAAAATTGGTCCTTTTTTCACCGGCTCTTTTGACGAGAGCGCGGTGGTTGTAGTCCTTCGCGATCCCGCTCAAGGTGGGGTCCCACGGCCTGCCAGGCCACAGGCCGCGACAGGCGTTGCCCAGCCTGTGGAGGCTTGCCGCGGCCCGTATTGAGCATTCCCACGGCGTGTGCTAGTCTGGTGCGGCCTATTGTTTGTCATTCCAACATGTTAAGTGATACAAAGCGCATGGCTGCGTGTGCAGCCGCTTTCGTCTCGCCTTTGAAATTACCGACTCCCGATGGATCGGCCGGGCGAGGACAGGCCATCACAAGCTTCATCGGATACGACTGTTCCCACGGCCTGTCGATCTGGCCTGGCGTGGTCTGGCCTGGCGTGGTCTGGCCTGTGAGAAAGCAGGCCGTGGGACCCCACTTTCAGAAGTCCCCTTTTATAGGACAGAGTCTTACAAAAGGAGAGCACAAAAATTGGTCCTAGGTTCCAAAAATCGGAATTTGTGTTTTGTTTTCTTAGACCGTGGTCCTTTGACACCTACAAGCTATTAGCATGGGCATATTAAATTGGTGTTTGACCATGAAACCCAAGATTTAATACTTATACTCCATATGATTGTCATTCCCGTATATCCCCAAGCGGTCACCGGTGACCGCTCTCCACTAACTACATTATAGAGGTAGACCTTATTTCCAAAGTTTAGAGACTACTTTTCTATGAACAAATTTAGGGGATGATATTCAACAATTTTCAACGGGGTAAAAAGTGAATTAGCAAATTAATGGCCCTTTTCATATGCAGCCAGTGTCTATAAGGTCTAAAGTCCTACTTTGGATCTTAAGTATTACCTATTACTTGTCATAGTGACTGACTTAATATGAACTCCGCGTGAGTCTAACGTGACGAATGACGATTCAATGTCTATATTTATTATTTTGATACATCGAAGCGGTCGTTAATTAGACTCGAGATAAGGACCAATGATAGGTTCATTGATTAATACTTATCCATCAATTAACCTATGTTACAAAATGTAACTACAGCTTCTGATGGAGGTACACAGATCTACAATTGACCTAGTCTAGTACTAACTGGATGAGATAAATTGTTTCCTTCCGATATTTCAAATCTGGAGGTTTTACATTGATTGGAACTATGTGAAAAATATAATTATAGGTGATACAATTGTTTTTTTTTTTAACAAAGCCAATACAATAATTTACGACTCGGTACTATTATTCAATCTGTGCCTTTTATGAGACGGAAACGTTTCTATGTAATAGTCATACTATTATCATATACATATCAACAACATTCAGAACAAAACATTAACACAAACATTTCCTTTTAGCTAGAAAGAACAGTAATCCAACAATACTTCGAATTCCAAAAAAACAATTGGCTCATCCAGTATAGCAGATCCTAATTCAATGTAAGGTGATTCAACTGTGGCCTAATTATAGTTCATACGCCAAAAGTTCGCGTACATTGACTCAGGCAATGTGTATGTGCTGATGTGCAGATCAATACAACAGGGTAGTTTCCAAAATTGTATTTTAATGTCAGTCTGGTAGATGAATTTAAAATATTAGACACGTATTTTTTCTTTTCTCACAAAATTCGGTTCGTTAATGATTTCGGTCATTCATTTACTTTCTTTATGATGCACTAAAAGTAAGTTACTGGTCGATGGCCGAGTGGTCGCAAGCGTGACTGCCGGGCAAGGGGTCTCGGGTTTGATTTCCGGATCGGGCAAAGTACTACTGGGTTTCAAACTACCACTTTTCACTATTTGTGTTATGAGTTCCATGTAGTAGGGGGTTGAGCCTATTGCCATATACCGGGCACGATTCCAGACTCCGTGCTACTACTGAGATTTTTTTTTAAAAACCCTGTAATACTTTGCTCTTCCTGGGAATCGAACCCGAGACCCCTTGCCCGGCAGTCGCACTTGCGACCACTTGGCCAACGAGACAGTCATTATAACGCATTTACTGTATAAAAATAATTTTTAAATAGGAAACATACACAATATATCGCAGTTCCTACCACATTTTCTATCGATTTTTTTTATAGTTGAACTCGACCTACATAAAATATTCATAGTTGTGTCAACCATTGTTGGTAGGGGTGGCCACGTCATATTTAGCCCACGGCAGACAATTATGGGTTAAATTAAAACCTTCCAATGACCGCTAGTCTATCGTACGGTGTCCATTATTGATCTAAGTTCAAACAATGTTAATGAAGGCTAGCCATATAAGTTATTAAAGTGCTCATTGTGGAACAGTGAGTAAATCAAACCCAAGGACGTTGACAAAAAGGCGAACGTAATGTTACTTACAACTTACAAATGATTGACCCACCAAATAATAATAATATGTGTGTCCATTACATTTATATTAACTCGTCGAGTACCGGTTTTATAGACACAATTAAAGAACAATAGGTCGCGGTCACCGGTGACCGCTTGGTGTTTGACAGTTTAAAGTTGTCTAAAGCCAACTGCGCAGAGAGGCCTCTCTGCGCAGTCTTCGGGCCCTCGTACGCCTCCCAAATGACCGGGACCCTGTGGTCCCGTGAATGGTAAAGACGTACATAATAATAAATAAGCTTTATTGTGCACCAAGCAAGCAATTACACAGATTCGGAAATTATAAAGAATAAGAAAGGCCTTATCGCTAAAAGCTATATCTACCAGGCAACCTTTAAAACCACGACCACCAAAATAACAGTGGTGTATTTATATGTGCGTGTACTTGCACCACCGTACTAAATAAAGTGTAATGACGGGCCATGTCACGTGATATATGTTCTTCAATGTGTGTGTATTCTGCGTGTAAGTCTATAGCAGCCAGGTGCCACAGTCGTTGTTTCAAGAGACTAATGCCGGAATACTGAAACGTTACTCAATTTTAAGTCGTGCTCAAATATCGTGCCGTCTCTGTCATTTTACAAAGAATTTGTAGAGATAGAACTATACTTAAGCACGACTTAAAATTGAGTAGCGTTTCAGTATTCCGACATAAGTCCGCCTTTTTTCATCGTCCTTCTTGAAACCAAACACATTTATCTTTACTTGTGTATGTTTTTAAAGAAAGGAAAAGCTGATTTGCTCAATTATTTTGGTTGAACTTCAACTCGCAACCGTTGAGAAGTTGTCCATTCAATCATGTGTTCATCTACATAAGATGATAATGATGGGTAAATCTTAACTTATACTAGCTACGTCAGCAGTCTGCTCAGCGCCTATTGACCGTAGTGTGATGTTTAGGAAACCTGGGCTTATAATTTCTAATTCTAAGTTTGTAATCGCCAACCCGCATTGAGCAAGCGTGGTGATTAATGCTCAAACCTTCTCCGTGTGAGAAGAGGCTTCGCTGAGCAGTGGGCATATAGGCTGTTGATGATGATGATGATGGTATTGTAGGACTTATACGATCAATAAGAGTCGGTCACAGCGGTTGAAACCCCGAAAGAGTATTAGCTAGTATGATTATAATCATTTATCAAATAGATGAGCTGGTGATTATCCGACGCAAATAGAGACAACTATAACATAAAGGTAACGTATAAGCATTAACATAATTTCAATAAAACATTAAACAACTTTAGTAGCATGTGATAATGAATTATGTATTTGTGGAAATTAGTTTTTGGTCGTTCGCCAATTACGCGCTTACATATATTATAATAATATGTAGGTACCTGGTACCTATATCATTTTAATTCATACAGACATTCGAACATCACTAGTCTGACATGATAGAGGTGGAATGTTTGTGTTTATCTAATAAACACGTGTATTTATTTTTGTACAGATCCTTACTAATATTATAAATTGGAAAGTGAGTTTGTTTGTTTGTTCCACTTTCACGCCGCAACTACTAAACCGATTGCTTTGCATTTTTGCACACGTAAAGTTAAAAGTCTGGATTAAATAATAGGGTCCTTTTTATCCCGGAAAAATTTGATATTCCCGAGGGAAAACAAAAGTATTAGTAGGTATAGATGGCACTGTGGGTATTGGTATCACACATAGGCTTCTTTTTATCCTTTTGTGACGCGTGCGAAGTCGCGGGTAAAAGCTAGTATGGTATAAATCTGAGCTCTGCCATTACATAGTTTGCAAGTTACTCAGGCTCACGGTCGACACAAAATCTCATTCTAGTTTTAAAATCCATTTTTCCATCACACACAAACCTTGATAATTGGGCCTTAATCAAAAATTAATGATTTCGACTGATCAGTACTATAAAATATTAAAAAATAATCACACTTTCATTAATTGATTTTATGACCAACTTAATTTTAGTATTTTTCCAGCATATAAAAAAATAAGTAGGTATGCTGTTTGAAGCTAAAAAACTGCGACGTCACGATACATAATCTCGTACAAAATTCATAGAAAACTGTCGTTTTTGACAGTTCGAAAAACGTATTGAATTTGACTAGTTGGCAAGTACCCAATTGCATCTGATGGTGCAAGTGTGCTTAGGCCTCGCTGACTGCTTACCACCAGACAGGATGTAGGACAATATTGCTCCTGGTAATAGTACATACAATAGTAGTACATGCCCAATGCTACGATGGCGAACGGTGAATGAAAACATCGTGAGGAAACCTGAGCTTATAATTTCTAATTATAAGTTTTAAACCGCCAAACAGCATTGAACAAGCGTGGTGATTAATGCTCAAACCTTCGTCATGTGTGAGCCTTTGGCCATCTATAGGCTGTTGATAATGAAAAAAGAATAATGCTACGATAAAGATTGTGGTTCCAAGTTTATGCTTGCTCTTGGGAATGCATACGAATAAATGTTATTTGACAAATGGCTTAAGAAACGTGTATCATTAATAAATTTCAGGACAAAAGCATGGTGGTCTTCGTGGAAGCGGCAGTACTTGATGACAGGTTACTGGCCGAGTATGGAGACTTCACGTCCGTCAAGGAGCGCCTGATGACCTTCAGAGCTAGTACTGATGACCTCACGGACAAAATTGACTTCATCATCTGTTTGGGAGGAGACGGCACGCTGTTACATGCTAGTTCATTGTTCCAGGTTCGTAGAAGAAGAATCAGTTGTTATGGGATTAATAGACAAAAATATAAGCCGAAACTTGACCGATTTCAAGGTTATTATGTGATTAAAGGTTATTATGTGATTAATAGGGAAAAGTATAAGCCAGTTGGTCAAGGTATTCCGAAGTGAGGATATTCTTTATTAGATTTTCAGTTTTATTTCTTAAGTAATAAGGTTGAAAATTAAATTGGTCAAGATATTCCGAAGTGAGGATATTCTTTATTAGATTTTCAGTTTTATTTCTAAAGTAATAAGGTTGAAAATTAAAAAAGAGCGTTATCAGATTGGAATAGCTTGTGCTGATGCTGGTGTAACCGAATTATATTGTGTTCTTTACAGTAAAGTTGTAGGTAGTTGCAGTTTAGATCTAATAACGAAAATACTTTTTGCATAGTTTAGTGTTTTCTAAGAATGGAATGAGGTTATTACCTCACCTGTTATTACCTGTTAGTACAGGAACTCATGTTAATGTACCTGTTTCCAGCAATCAGTACCTCCTGTGATGGCATTCCACTTGGGCTCTCTAGGCTTCCTCACGCCGTTTGAGTTCAACAACTTCCAGGACCAAGTCATGAACGTTTTAGAAGGTAAGACATATCCAAAAGATAGAATTAAAGACAAATATAGAATTAAAGCTACACAACAATGCCTCAAGCTAAGTCCTGAGTCACAGCGGATCGCGCAAGCGGATTCCGACACGCACGAAATTCAAGGCTCATGCCGGAATACTGAAACGTTACTCAATTTTAAGTTGTGCTCAAATATCGTGCCATCTCTGTCATTTTACAAAGAATTTGTGGAGACAGAACTATACTTAAGCACGATTTAAATTTGAGTAGCGTTTGAGTATTCCGACATCAGTCTCAGAGTTTAAATCGCGAGAACCCATTCTCTGAAATCCGGAATACTATCAGACCTTTTTTAAACCAAAAATTAACATCACCAAACCGCTACACGTTTGACATAGACCGGATAATGGCACTCTGAGATCAACCGTCTGTATTTCAGCAGTGTACTGACACAGGTAGTTGATATTTTTGTTGTGTCTGCTACTGATTGCAATATGATGTATGGACATTCACCAAAATTCACATACTCAAATCTCAACTTGTAGGACACGCAGCGTTAACGCTCCGGTCACGTCTCCAATGCGTAGTGCTACGCAAAAGTAGGGACGATAAAGATGGCAAGGAAAAAAAGAAGCCGACTACCATACTGGTGCTGAACGAGGTGGTGGTGGACCGAGGACCTTCGCCTTATCTCTCCAATATCGATCTATTCCTGGATGGGAAGCATATTACCTCCGTGCAGGGAGATGGTAAGAGAAATCAAGAAATTGTAACATAAATACTATTTAAGTGTTTTATAATCATTGTAAAAGATCCTCTGGCCTGCCTCGTTGGCAGAGTGGTCGCAAGTACTACTGGGTTTTTAAAAAATCTCAGTAGCAGCACGGAGTCTGAAAATGTGCCCGGTATATGGCAATAGGCTCACACCCTATTACATGGGACTCATAGCATAAAATAGTGAAAAGTGGGTGTTACATTGTACAGTGGCATCAAGTGCTGTAATGTGCACCTCTTCGGGGATAAAAGGCGTGAAGTTATGTATGTAAAAGACCCAACTATAACCATTCAAACTATACTTTATTTTCAGTGGCGTAAATATACCGTTCGGGGTCCGTGGCAAATTCATCGGTTAGACCCCCGTTCCCAATGTAAACATAAGTTCAAATAAATACCTTTGAATGGGAGCTCTGTCCAGCTGGATGCCCGTGGCATTTCACACACTTGCCGCCCCGTAGTTACGCCACTGTTTATTATTATTTTTATTGAACTAAGTGGCTTATATCGATTCAAATTCCATCTTCAACTGGTAGTAATCTACTATTTATTATAAGTTGAAAGTTATTAGAAAAATATATTGTATACCTATGGTTGACTGTCAGAGAATGCCTTAAACTGTCAAACACCAAGCGGTCACCGGTGACCGCGACCTATTGTTCTTTAATTGTGTCTATAAAACCGGTACTCGACGAGTTAAGGCATTATTATTAAGTCAGCAATTCATAATTATCTTTTGTGAAGAAGAAATAAATACCTCCTTTAATAAGTCCTATTTATTCATAATCTCCAGGTCTAATAGTATCAACGCCGACGGGTAGTACAGCGTACGCAGTAGCGGCGGGGGCGAGTATGATCCACCCGTCAGTGCCCGCCATCATGGTGACACCAATCTGCCCCCACTCACTGTCCTTCAGGCCTATCGTGGTCCCCGCTGGAGTGGAGCTCAAGGTAATCATCATATTGTACAATAATTATCGTACACTGAATAGAATAGAAAAGACTAAACGTATACTTAAAAAATATTTTTTTTACAACTGCATTTGATATGTATTGCCGAATTCTTTTCACACAATTTTATAAATAACAATTATGAGAAGTACTGGGTTTAACCTATTATTACCACCTATTTGGTCCTCGACCAGTGGTTACTATTTAAGAGAGTGTATTTAAAAGTAATACACACTGAATTGTCAATTTTGAACTCCCTTCCGAGGTTTTCCCAGAGAGCTATATTTGGTTCTTAATAAATAAATAGGTTTTTAAAGGTCTGCCCCAAGTGTTGCAAGCGTTCATATGCCACGATAACCACTTACAATCAGGTGGGCCGTGTGCTTCTCTGACCTCGTAGTGGAATGAAAAAAAAATTGATTTATTTTTAAACAGTTATGAATTACTCATTTATGTATTGTGAACGTTCGCGAATAGCTCTACTAGTTTCAAATCGTACCGGGACTCATATTCATAAGCAGTTGAATTATTTTTATCGGTTTGTTCGTCATGTAAGTATTAAGTATTAATGAACAAACAATTTTTCACAGGTCTGCAACCATACGTTATTTAATTTTTTGTCGGCTATTTTTAGACAATATTTTCATTTACTATCCAAAATTGGAAAATAACAGTTAAACTAGTTTATGTCTAAATGTTTTACCTAGATCCGCTTCAGGTGAAGCGCCACTTATTTCACTTCTCCCTTAATTGAAACCACTTAAAAATAATTTCACAAATGATTCATCTTTATTATACTATCACCAAATCACTATTTTATACACTGTCTCTATCATATTGTTATTATTATGTTTTCGGCTTACTCACGTAATAATTTGACGAGGAACTCGACTCGACTCGACTCGCGAAATACTGCTCATGTATATGAGCCTCTAGCATGGCTTGAAACTAGTCGAGTTCCTCGTCAAATTATTACGTGTGTAAGCCGAAAACATAATAATTTATTTAGTATGTCTCACGAAAGTTACAATACAAATATTGTTATTAATTATACTTCTCCCCAACTAAAAATTCGCCAACGTTTTAGATCGCACTGTCTCCAGAGGCGAGAAACGCCATGTGGGTTTCGTTCGACGGTCGCAACCGACAGGCGTTGCAACATGGAGATAGGTACCGGGATCTCTGCCTACCCCCGTACGCTATGCACGCCGCTATGCTTAGATATCGCATGTTCATGTATATAGAACTGTCTTGTATCGTACTTAGATGTAATTTATTCGACATAATTTCGTGTTGATAGTGATTTGTTGTGGGGATCAAAAGGCTAAGTGTACGGTTTAAAAAAAAGTGTAAGTACCAAAACAGTTGGTGTTGTCAGCAGAAAAAAAATATTGGGGGTCTTAGAAGTCTCGTGTAACTTTGTGTCTATTATGCTAAAATTCTAAAATCTAACAAAATTGTATGTGTTTTAATACTCAAACACCCGGTCTTCCTAGGGCATTCACAATGTTTTTAAATTATCTACTAACAGTAAGTAGGTATTTCAAAGGTTATGTTAGACAATTATACCCGATCAAAATGGCGAAATCTAAACTGAAATTAGTTAGAAGCCCCTCTAAATACATTATGTCCTATTCTTATAGGGTCCTATTCTCTCTTATAGGGTTATTTTAGTAGTAGCAAATTGAGCTGAGGTGGTCGGGCTTGTTTCAGATAATGCCCACCCTAGAAGCGCGTAGTGCGGCTAGTGTGTCGTTCGACGGGAGGTCCCAGGTCACCCTCAGGCCGGGCGATAGGTAAACGGACATAAGCACTCATCATAACTACATTATAGTCTTGGAGACGGCCACATATTACGTCAAAAGAGGCCTAATAATGTAAAAAGTAAGGGCATTGCATCAAAAAAAAAAAACCGATCTGCTTCATTCACATCTTTTTTTCTGTTTGGTTTATTAATTATTTTTAGTCCAATTTCTTGGTCTATACTTAAGGAATCTAGATTCATTTTGTAATTCCAATATAGTAATCATTATAATTGTGGATATACAAATCAACCTTTTAAGTGATGAAACAATAAATGTGATCACACATCGCTTCATGTTGTGATTTTCCAAGTACCGCACCTAACAATTACTTGCTTACACAAAGCAAACTATATTAGAAATTAAAGAGAAAAATAATCTACTTCATAAATTCTATTGTCTCCTATTAACATAATTCAGAATTTAAAATGATGCCGTCTCCTCACATTCGACCTCCATAATTCGAAAGTACACTAGTCATACAAAATCACAAACATCGTTCTTCAAGCTGGGGTAGTTAGAAATGCTGGTGAAAGGATATTTATTATTTCTACTAAGAAAATGCTGTCAATTAGGTTTATTATTGCATGTAAGGTGACTGGGGGGAAGATCGAACGATTTTTTGTTGAGATGAGTAGTGTTATATTCGAAGTCTTGTAGAACAGTAAATATTTACTGACGCACAAGTTTTATTTGTAATTAGTCAGGAGTAAAGAGTATATTTTCTAATCATATTGATAAAATCCTGTTAATTCGTCTCTAAGGCAGAAAAAATAATTGAATAATATGTGTTAATCCCTAAAATAAAACAGGGGGAAGAGTAAATGGTGATGGGGAAAGATCGAAATAGTTTCTAAAATCGTTAAAATGAGTATTAAACATTGTTGATGGTCTCTAGTCTATAGTTCATTGTGCCCTGAATAGTGAGTACTGAACGTGGTATAAAAATACCTTTAATTGACTAAGATATAAGGTATAGTTTTCTTTCTATATTTCGATCTTACCCCACCGGGGGAAGACAGAAGTAGGGGTTCTCAAACTTTCTACGTTAACTGCTTAGGGTTATAAAAATGAAACAACACTATTTATCAAATCACTTATTATTAATTTGGCATATTTAGGAACTCAATTTATTTTCGATTCTACTTGAACCTATTTATCACATGATTCTGTACCCATTAATTCTTAACTTAAAAATTCCAGCACTTAGAAAAAGGCAATTTAATCAAACGAGGGACGATGTAGTCGTCGATAGATATAATACTGTATTTGAAACCATCATCAATTGACGTACTTTTTATGAGCTGTCAAAACGCGATTCACCCAAACTTTTTGAATGAAAACATCACCTTAAGACGTCACATGTTAGCAAACTAATTGACTAACTATTTATTGATTTCAAAGTGACTAATCAGAATCAAAAAAAAAATATCCAATTTTACAGTAAATTAAAAGTGAACCGGATTTTTAGGACTAAAATTAGGAGAGGCTTATAGAAATTGTGCCTTACATTTATCGGTTAATGGTGTCAAATACCGTATTATTGAGCATAATTGAATTATAACACTGGTACGCAAATGGTACATAAATTAAGAAACAAAAGTTGGATACCTACTCTAAACAATATAGTTAAAAGTAAACTTTAAATGTTTTTCAAATCGTTACTTTAAAAACAAGATCAAAATAACAACAAACACTTCACTGAATATTGTATTTTTTTAAATCAACGTCAAACTTGATTTGGCCACGACGAGAGATTACAGGTGCGGGAAGTATACAAACAATATCTTCCTTGTGTTTTAAAGCACTAACATCTTCCACAATCGGATATGTGAAAGAGGTAACTGTATCAGCTGACCTTGTTTGTTTTATTTTTCTTACATATTTTACCACAGGCATTTGATTTTCAAATGACAAAATTGTCCCAACAAAATGTTTAACATATTTTTTTGTAGCAAACTTCACTACAAGCCAATCATCTTTCTTCAACTTACTATGATTCCCATCATAAAATATTATTTCGCTTAATCCTAAGGGGATGTTTTCGTATGGATTAAAGTTTTCTTGATCTTCATCTTGTTCTTGTAAACAACTGTCTATAAACTCATCCATATTATTATAATCAGATTCGTCAGTTTCAACAGTCTCAACCGGTATTTCGTTTTCAGAGCTTTCCGTATCACTAGACAATAATCGTTTCCTATTTCTTATTACATTTCTAGATATTTGCTTCTGCTGCCTTTTGTTTTCTTCATATTTTTTAGAATATTTCTCTTTTATTATTTTGCTACTGTTTCTAATTTTTAGTTTCTTTTCTTTTACGAGTTTACTTTCTTTAGTCATTTTAATCTTTGGTATTGTTATTTTAGTCTGAAGTATATTTTTTGTAGTTTTATCATATAAATTTTTTCTCATGGTCTCTGTGATCACTTCCGCTCCTAAGGCTACACGCCTTTTTTTTATTTTTGCGTCAAGTCGAGGGGTTTGTTTAACTGTTGCTAAAAGAAGTTCTTCAAAGTTAACTACTTCATTAGAAATTATATTAATTTTTGAATTTTGTGTGTGTAAAGCATTTTTGGATGCTGTTCCACTTTCAACTATAAAATTGTTCGATGTCAGACATGTCGGCAATTCCTCATAGCAGTTTGCTATGAATGTTTGTGCCTGTTCTTGATCTTTCGACACATTCGCCAACAATTGAATACTTTCTAACTCGTCAACTAAAGAAGTGTTTTCAAAATTGAATGGCATGTTATCGTACATTAGGATATTGATAACATTAATGCAATGTTCTTTTAAAGGTACTGGGGTTTGTGTTAACTGAAATTGTAACGGGGGTAAAAACTGTACATCTCTTGGCAAAGAATTTTGTATATTATCTATTGCTGGATTGGACTGAGACTGTTGCTGTGAAGACTGAAAATTGTTTTTTTGTGCTTCTTCCCAGCGTTTGTATGCTCTTGGGTCGTACCGATCAATTGAAACCACCTCAGAGTTAAATGGGAATATTCCTGCTTTTTTAAAGCCGTTCATTATTATTTCGTCTTTGGTGTCATTCCAAATTTCAGCGAAAAGTTCGGAAAATATCTTTTTAGGCACTTTAACACCTGTGTTTTGCCTTTGCCATTCAACTAATTTAGCGTCCCATCTACTTTTAAAGGACTTAAATACAGCCACATCCAAGGGTTGTAGGATATGGGACGTGTGAGGCGGTAATTTTAATATCGTGATATTATTTTGAATAGCTAATTCAACCACATTGAGATCAACATGGCTGCCATGGCCATCATAAACTAGCAGGACTGGTCTTTCCTTTCCAAGCGCCGGGATAAACACCTTTTCTATATAATTATAAAATATTTGAGTATCCATCCACCCTCTTTGACTGGCAGCATAAGACAGCTCGAAATCATATTTGTTTTCAGTTTCAGCTACCCATGAATCCCACACATATTTGCCTTTAAATATAATTAAAGGACTTATTTTCTTAGCATTCGCACTAACAGCCGTTAAGACGGTAATATTTTCTTTGCCAGTACCATGTGTAGTTCGAGAGGATGGAGCTCCCTTCTTTCCAACTATTTTAGTTTTGGAAGGGTCTAAACATACCGATGTTTCATCTAGGTTCCATATTAGATGTGGTCGTTGATTCAAATTTAAATCCTTTAGTGTTGATTCTAAAAGCTTGAAGTATTCATTTATAATAAAAGGATCAGTATTTTTCTTTCTTGAATGTTCAAGAGATTGAGCTTTTTTGAGAGAAAGTCCGTGACGTTTACGAAAGTTTGTGAACCAATCGGGTCCTGGAATGTTGTCCTTAAATGGTGTATTTATATTATTCAATCTAACATAACGTTCCACTAGCAAAATGACTTCTTTTCTGGAAAGCCCAAAACCCCATTTTTCTAAAACTTTTAGACCATTGGCTAGTTTAGTTTCTGTTTCATAAGGGAAGACAGGAGGACGACCCAGCGTATAACTTTTAATACCTGTTTTTTTATTCAAGCGATTGTGAAGAGTAACAATGGGTATATTAAAATGTTTAGCTGCACCGTATAGTGATAATTCCTTTGTTTTTACTTTTTCTATGGCGTTGGCAATATCGTCTTTAGTGTAGGAGGTTGCACGTAGAGACTTCCGGACATAGTTACGTGGCATAGTGTTTCTGAATTGACAAAATGCAATTACTCAATATTGCTTCGGTAGCACGTAGTTCTTAGTATTTATAACGATAATATTTGAAGTTGAACGCTGTCAGCTAATTACTTCGCAATCTTTTTTTTATGGCTGAAACAAAACAACGGTTTTATTAAATAAATATTTCAAAGACGAAATAGAAGTATGTTTGTAATCTTTCACTTATAAAAATAATTTATTTAAACTAGTTATGTGAAAATTTAAAAATGGTTAGCCGCCATTATTTTATTTTGAACAGTTACATAATACCAGGTATAGTTTGAGAACCACTGACTATTAGTATGAAATTTCGAAACGGGGCAAGATTAAAACTTTTACATGTTTTTCTTACCCCGTCAAATATTGGTGGGTAAAGATGGAACATTGTGATAAATTGAAAACTACGACAGATAGCAATATTTAGGACTGATAACACAATTAAGAATTGAAAATAATGAGTTGGTATTCCAATAAAACACTCGTACCTACCTTGTAAGTAAAGTTATAAGACACGGGGCAAGATTGAAACACTCGATTAACTCGCGTAAAAGTCACTGCACAGACATTTGTATTTTTCACACAACCACTCACTTAAAGCGGCAAACGCTGACTGAGGGGTGACACGTAACAAAATGGCGGTCTTAACAATGTTACCAACACTGCAAAAACTGTACTAAATCTGTCGTTATGGAAGGTTTTTTATGTTTCCCCGTTTTTCGTCTTCCCCCCACTCACCCTATAGTATTTTACTAACATTTTGCTTAACGCTTTTGCTTTGCATGTGTTTACTTATTGTTCATTACCTTGCATTAATTTTGTCATTGTATTCATGTTAATGTGTTTGTAGAATTGGGTAGTGTCCAGGGTATCAAAATTAAAAATCTAATTAGTCCGTTAGTTAGATAATTAAAAAATATTAGACACGTATTTTTTATTTGCTCGTATTAAGTTTGAATATTTAGATAAAATGGCGCTAAGTTTAGGAGTGGGAGGTCGTTACGTCATAACGTGCTACAAAATGTAGCACACTGTGACGTCACACGATATTTCAAATTAATATATCATCGAAAGTTTTTAGTTTTGTGAGAAAAGAAAAAATACGTGTCAAAGTATTAAATTAATGTACCAGACGGACATTAAAATAAAATTTAGGAAACTACCCTATTTATGATTACACATTAAAAACTCTGTGTGGTGCTCATAATATTTATTAATGTTTTAGATTACAATCTTTTGGTGGTAGCCTTTGTAGTTTAGTAATTTTTTTACATGTCCATTAGATATAAGTCCTCTTATAGAATGCCTAACAATAAAGCAGTCCACTACCTACTTGGTTTGAAAAAAGATTTCGTTTATATACTATCATAATGACTAAACAGTATCCATGCATACCTTGTATTAAAACAGTCATACTTTTAATTTGACAGGACGCTTAATCATTGCCAATGTTGCCACTTCAAAAATATTAATCCCAACATTTCTTTGACAGTCTCTACGTGACGACATCAGTGTACCCTGTGCCCTCAATATGTGCTCAGGATCAGATCTCCGACTGGTTCGATTCATTAGCAGAGTGCCTGCACTGGAACGTGCGAAAAAAACAAAAACAAATCGATGAACTCAGCGATCTGACGCATTCATCCAGCGATAACCTTGAGGATCTAGATCAGAACCACCACGACGAACGACCTGTCGACACATGACCAACGAGGTTCTAATCAAAGAGTTCTGAGTGTTTTCCTTCCAGGGTATAGGCATACTTTGAGCAAAGAACTTTTTTTTAATCGTCTGTAAGCGAAATGCCAATGTTTGTTGTATGTGTGTGTGTGTGAATATGACGTTTAAAGAGTAACGTTTTATTTAGATGTTGAGTATCGATAAGACACTCGATGTATCTAGTATAATTTCCTAATATTTTAAAGGCAAGTTTAGACTAAGTTTTTAAACGTCTAAATAGACTCCTTGACATAAAAATGTATTCATTCGTTCTAAAAATTAAGTTTTTAATGTTTATAAACAACGAAATTGTTGATGTGAGAAGTGTTTTGATAATAATAGCTATTATGAGTGCGGATAACGATATGTCGATGTGGCTGGATATGTAGTTATTCGGCCATTTATGTGATACTGATATCGATTAAACGTTGTTTTTGACATTCCCTTGGACAATAAAAAAGTAAAGTGTTATGTCTTTCTCGGGTATGTTCGGTTTTCTGTATTTTTTATTTCCGATTTTATTTCATGGACTGCTCAATCGATTTCTCAAATGAAATTTTATTAAAGTTTGTTCCACATTTTTGTTGCGAATATTTTACAATCTCATTTGTACATAATCGTGTATTTCAATTTATATAGTAAACAACTGTAAACGTGTGAAGGTGCTAATTGCAATAAAACAGTGCCAAGTAAATTATATATAGGGTGAAACAGTTTAGATAAACCCCATATTAATAATTCTGCTAGTTATAGAGTTGAGACGGTTAAAACGGCCAGTTTCACCCTCGAAAAGTGGTGCTCAACCTTTTTTTAAAGTGATAAATGGCTTGAGGTCATATCTAATGTAATGTTTAAACTCCTTTTTTATTCAGAGTATGTTTCATTGCACTGTGTGTAGTACAATAAAAAAGAGAGAAAAGGTTGGGCATCTCTGTATTTGTCTTTAGGTATAGTGTTCAACTGCGAGCACAAAAAGTAGATACCTAGTAAATAGATTTTTTACGTTCAAGCTGTTCTTGTATGTAGGGATTGATTATTATGTGTACAAAAGACAGCATCATGTCACAGTTATCAAGTTCCTTGGCTGTTTGTAATAATTTATCGGCAGCTATAAATTTATTTTAAACTGCTTACATTTGCGCCATTGCTTGATAAAAACCGGTTAATTTTCCTTTTTTAAATTTAGTATCTGTGGGTCTAAGCACAGACTTCTTCGTCGCTGCCCTAATGCTCCGCTATGTACTTTTACCTGATTGTATTTATAAGCTTTTTACAATATTATGTAACAATATTTATTGGGTAATGGCAATTTTGTTCGCGATGCAATAAAAATAATAAGTAAACATTTTATGTTTCCTGGATGTATGTACTTGTATTGGTGTTCCATGAGTATGATAAAAAGATTAATTATTATGTATATAGACTTACTATAAATTATATAAATGCGAATTGTTTTATTTTATTACTCAACCATTTTGAAGCGTTACCACAACTTGCAATGCCGTGGAGAAAGCAAAAGAACTATGTTATAGCTAGTTCACTTTTCACTTATGTCTGCATTCTAGGGGCCTAGGCAGAAACCACTGTGGTGGTGGACTGTGGTTTCTGGAATGGATAAATTTTCGGTCAGAAAGTTAGTAGAAACATAATTATTATGGTATCTTTATAATATCATAATATGAAGAGTAGAATCTATATATATTTCTTTTTTATATTTGATTGGCCGACGTTTAACAACTATCTCGTGTAATGGTAAGCGGTGATGCGTTCTACGATGGAGCACGTCGACCCATAAGCAACCTATTCACTCGGGCCTTGAAGACACCCAGGTCATACCCTTCAGAAAATACAGACTTTGGCAAAGAATTTCACTCCTTAGCAGTACGCACATGGAAGCTTGATGCCAAGTGCTTCGTGCGTGTGGGATGAGACATCTACCATAAATCGGTAACGGATGATGAACAAGACTAGAGGGAATCAAGTTGTGCAATTCTTCCGCACACTCACCGAAATGTATCCGGTAGAAAACCCTTGGCTTGGAACCTTACGCCTGTGTTCGAGGCTTTGAAGCCGGGCCTCTACAAGCGCATCATTGTTTATTAGCTTCTTGGCACGCAACTAAATGTGCTCTAACACGTCCAGCTGATATTTAGCCATATTCCATGATGAGAACAATACTCCATACAAGACTGAACCTGTGCTTGGTACAGGTACCCTCCATAGGATACCCAACTTCCTACCAGCGTGGGCGTCAGCGTTACGCCAAGAAGCTAAAATGATCAGTTCAGCATGTTCCCGACCTATATCAGAAATGTGTATTGATAAAAAACAATAATTCAATACCTCATTACAAGTATACAAAAGGGGTAAAGCTTTTGATCACGTCTGAGGTAGTACAAAAAGAGTATAATAATATTCAATATACGAGACGGTCTATCAAAAACCGTAATTCTTTCTTACGGTAATTACCGGTTCGATAACTTCACTCAAATGTCAAACTAAAAAACTAAAAAATCAAAATGTCACTATGATTACTTTGACGTAAATATAACCTACAATTTTTTTCGAAAATCCTAATACAATAAATAATTACTGAAATAAAATGTCTAAAGTACCAAATTTAATAAATTTTATAGCAAAAAGGAGCATCTCTTTGTCAGCTCCTAGGGAAGGCAAGAGAAATTTCAGGAAATTCGTGATCCCTAACAAGAGGGGTTCACGATTACATCGTTTGCAGCAGCAGACTGAAAACAGGCAGTTAGACATCGATAAGCGAGGCGTTCGCGACACAGGGTACTATATGAACGGCCGCTTTGTCACTGTACCTGAAATGATACCCGAAATTATCGTGCCTGACTTGAAAGATTTTGATTTGAAGCCGTACGTGTCGTACAAAGCTGCCGATGTTATACAGAGCGAGTTCACGCCCGAACAACTGTTTGACGCTGTGTACAGTAAGAAGATAGTTACAGATTTCAAACAAGGAAAGCTAGATGAAGATGGATTCCCCCTAGAGCCGTCCGAGGATGAGAAACTTCAGCCTGATGAAGCCGTCCGCAGAGCTAAGAGAACTGGCTCAGATATATTTTGAAATATTGTAGTACTTGTGTAGTCTAGCTTTAAATAGATAAGGTTATTGAATAAATCCTATTAATGTGTTGTCTAATTGCCTTCTATTATTTCTCTATAGACTAAATAGTATATTAAGTATGTAGTTTTCTTATTATACATTATTAGTAGTTAGTTCTTTAAGTAGTTGATATAAAGGAGTACATTTTAGAAGGACCATCCGTTACTTATACAATACAATGGTTTTGCTTATATGGATACTTAATTTTCAATAGTCACCACTTGCGCATTGCGTGTAAATCATACATAAAATATATGCTTTGTAAGTACTAAAACAAATTAAAACTATTTAACCACAATTTTGCTTTGCTGAATGTTTCTTAAAATTTATGTGTATTAATTTTTCTGCTAAACAATAATTAATTATGGAGAAAAAATTAAGTAAGTAAGTAAGTTATAAACATTTTAATATTGTTTAAGTAATAATGACTAGTCTAGTTAGTCTGAGTAGTAACAATAAACAATAATATCATTGCTAGACAAACAAAACCACAACACGGGAAAATTCCTTGAATAAAATAATAATTCTATAGACCGTAAATTACTTTTACCTGTTCTAAACTTACCAACGGCAAGTACCAATGTGACTTTTTCCGAGTTGTATGTACTTTCTAAGATTATCCAGACACCACTGACTAACTGTGAAGGAAAACGTGAGGAAACCTGAACGATTATAATTTCTCATCATAAGTTTGAAATTGCCAACTCGCAATGAGCAAGTGTGGTGATTAGTGCTCAAACATTCCCCGTGTGAGCAGAGGCCTTAGGTTACCAGTGGCCACTTATAGGCTGATGATGATTATGTTCAAAATACAAATTATACCTAGACTTTGATGTCCTGAAGTAACCACTAAATTGATGAAACAAACCAAACAAAGATGGGGTACCCCAAGGTTCCATCTTAGGTCCGATACATATCCATTTATCCAAACATGCTCTCACTTTTTCCACAGACGGAACTAGAATAATAATATAATTAAATCAGCAATTACTATAATATTCTTATCAGTACACATCCTTACAAAGTCTTGGCCCATGACTTTTCTTATCAGAAGGTGCATAGAAAACAAAAACATTTTATTGACTCGACTATTTCATAGCTTCTTTACTTGCATACAAATTGATGATTACTATGATGACTATGATGATGAGATAACATTATTAACCTTTGAGGCACTTGTGCAGGCAACTATTATCTAGGTAGGCTACATAATAATAAATTATGCACATAATATAACAATTTAACTGAAAGCTAAGAAATAGACTATTAAAATGTTTTAATTCCATGAAGTTATGCACCATCGAATTAACTGCATTGCAATTTTCTATTTGTAAAAAACTAGGTGAAAACAATGGAATTGGATTATTAATGAATTGTTCAGGCACATTTTAATCAATTGATATAAATCCCCAAAATTTGTTCATACAAAAGTAGTCTCTACATGTCGGAAATAAGGTCTATAATGGGGTTAATGGACAGCTGTCATCGGTGACCACTTGGGAATTGATCAGTTTAATACATACACCACCTTTTCAATTATTATTTTAAGTGCCACAATGCCAGTCTACATGAAAAGGCGCTTATTTCGAAAAACACTAATACAACCTATAGAACCTAAGACTCCTGTCAATAGTTGTCGGTAGTTGCACAACTTGCGAAGTTACTACCAAACAATAAAAGCAATTAATTTATTGTAGGTAATAAGAACATTACTAAGGAGGTTGGAGGTTGTTTAATCATGTTAATTAATTAAAAATGTGAGTAAATACACACACACATTGGTACGTTTATTAATACGTAAATGTAAGGTAGACGTAAATTAATCATATAGGTACATAGTCCCCGATGCTCATTTCAAGCAAATAGTAAACCATATTGGTCGAGATACTCAACCGTATTATTTACTGCAAATAAAAAACGTGTATTCAATAACGTTAAGTGATAACGTATCACGACATCAAAGAATGTTTTTTAAATGAGATTGATATTGTGTTTTAGTAAATAAATGGTCAAACCGTGGATACTCAAATGATATTCATGAAACGGTCTGCCGTGCCACTAGTGACCCGAACATTATCTACATTATTATAAACTTGTCTACAGTTCAACAAAATCGAACATCCATTTTATCATTTAAACGAGAGATATCATTTCGCGCGGTTGTTTAGCGCCTGCGCAGTTCGTACCGGTTTGACAAATAAGCTAATATACATAGCTATAATGGGAGGTAACTATTCAGCTATGGACCCGATGGAAGTACCCGTGCCCGATATAGCAAAATTATTCGAACGCGATGGTTACTTGAAGCCATACGAAAAGGAAATACGTCGCAGGTAAGTCTTTATTGTTCCTAATTCATTTAAATCTAAGTTTTGAGTGAGTTTAATAAAAGAAAACAGTGTTTTAAGTGATATTATGCTTCAATTTAAGGTTAACATACCGTGTTTACGATTTTCTGACAACACAGCGCTGAAGCGCTTTATATTTTTAGTCTTACAAGGTTATTATTCTTATTCATTGTGCTTATTTAAAGGTAATCAACTAAAAACCTGTTACTAGAATATTTTCGCTTAAAATTTTCCACTATAAATCATACAATCACCTATTTCTGTGTCAATATTTTAGTTCCTTGATTTTGTCTGTGCTCGTTCAGCGCTGCAAGCGCTTAGGGCACGATATGACGTTCCCAATGTCAAACCTAAGGTCAATTGATATAGGAATATGGGCTAAACTTTTTATAAACATACTTTGTAACTTCGATATTTACTATTTGCCACTTGACTACGCCACTGAGTAGGTTATTACATATTTTATTACCGAACTGTTAACTTCTTAATTAGAATTATTTATTTAGGCATACCTGCCTAATAATATATAATAGTAGTATAAACATATCTACTTACGTAGTGAATTCACGTAATATTCAATCAGTATTATATACCGATATAGATAGGAACAACCTGAGCGAAGACCGAAATAATTGACATGCAAATGCAACAGCTAAAGCAGTTACTATTATTAGATAACGGTTTAAGTAAATGCCTACTTAAGTAGGTAAACAACAATTACTGCGCACTCTATAGGTACATTATGCTTATGTGCTAGACTTGAGATAGATAAAACATTGTGTTGGTCTCTTTAACCTTAATAATTGTAAAATAACAAGACTGATTGAGGACACGTGCGTGTAGCGATGTACACTTAACATAGATAGGTACCTACATATTTAGCGCATTAATTTCCCGGAGGAGAGGGTAGAATAGTGATAAATGAGATACCCACTATCAGTGAGCTACGTCTTTGTATTGGAGGGTGAAACTCTACGAGGCACAATCTAGAAGATCCAATCAGCATAGTCTTGGAGCCCCCTGATCGGGTCGTGCATTCTAGACACGACACTTTATTACCATTCTGACAGTAAAGCATATTTATCATCCAGAATAAGTCCACTACTAAACACGAACCTTCCTCTTAACCCGTCGTGTGCCGGAACGTAGATCTACGCGAGACAATGCATTTTATATTGTGTCTTATATACCGGCAGTCAAGAGGTTAAGTACCTAGTGATATAAACCATCAACCATAAACCATACAACTAAAGATTATAGTTAAGACACTGACAATTAAACGTCGACGCTGGTAGCAGTTTCAGGACATTCTACCTAACCTAACTCGAATGCTACTAACTGACTTATTCCTCAACATTTCAGATATGGCTGCTACAAAGACCTCTGGGACAGGATAGAGTCCTGGGAAGGAGGTTTCGATGGGTTCACAAAGGGCTACAAATACTTCGGGCCACAGTTCAACTCCGATGGCTCCGTCACTTGGCGGGAATGGGCCCCGGGAGCACACAGTCTACATTTACAAGGAGAATTTAGTAAGTCATTGCTCAAATTTCCGTGGTGCTTGGCGACTGGGCTTCACCCAGTTGTATAGTCTCTTCTTTGTGCCTTTAGGCTTAACTCATTCTGTCTCCTGCAGTAATTCACCGAGGGAAGTGGAAACTATAGTTTTTCTTCTCCTCTTATAATATCTTCTGATTCATTTCGTTGCGGGAACCAAGACAGTTACTCATGTCCCTGGGACGCGCCGGACTTCAGTGTTCCGGTGTTTGCATGGTTGTATCTACTGTAGATCCTGGCTTACAGGAGTTACAGCGGTATTGGGAGGTTGTAGTGGGCTTGTCCCTTAAAAAAAAGTCATAGTGGTTTAGTCAACTCATATGTGGTTACTACTCCTAGTAGGTACTAGTTTGCTAGTAACGATAAATAAATTATATACTATTTCAAAAGTGTACCTTCATAACGAAACTCATGCCTGTTTGCACCATTTTAAAGCTCTCCTAAATTTTAACGCACCTTAAGCTAAGATAGGTGACATTTAACGATTGGTTTTCACCAACCTATAAGTGACACCTAACAGTGCAAGTAAGGAGTTCGAGTTAGTGCTAAGTAGATTTTAGTTAAGAGATGGTGTAGGGATGTTTGGTGTAAACGGTTTATAGTGCCCTAAGTTCCCCATTTTGTAGAACTATCGAGACGAACAGTACTACTGTAAAAAACAATCGATACTGCATTTATTTTCTCGGTTCAAATCCAGACGCTTGAGAATTCGTTGCATTAAAATAAAATGCACTCAACCATCCTTAGTGCAATCTCTCCTAAAATAAACTAACGGCGGCTCGCTCTCAATATTAACTAGTACGAAATTCAAATGGGACAATGAGCGAACATTGCAGGGATGTGGAACTTTATGGAACGGGGTATAGAGTTCAAAATCCGTTTTCGAAGACTTAATTCAATCAATGATACTCAATTGTTTAGTGAAGAGACGATTTTGTTACATTTGCGTTCATCACGATCGTCTGCTGTTTGTAGTAAAAATAGGATTATAAAATACCGAGACTTTTCATATTATAATAATCTTATTCTAACTACAGGATCCCTTTCTAATTAGTCCCCGTCTAATGAGCAGTCATTACAAATGGCTTTTCGATATTCTAACGAGTCCTATCTAAGACTCGATTATGATTCCTTAAACCTCTGCACTTCAAACCAGCAGCTGTAGCCAAATGCCACTTAGCGCTTGTCTACATGTAGAATAGAAAACAAAATTATATGGGATTGACGTAAATTTTGACACTTGTCAGTGTCATCCCCATACATTTTGATTTCTACTCTCTCTGTAGACACGCGCTAAAGTGGCGTTTGGCTAAAGGCACAGATTAGACCGAGAAAAAATCAGAACGGAATTTACCTATCTACTTATTTTATTCGACATTATTCATTTTGTTAACCGACTACGGCGAAGTCAAATTTTTACTAGTATGTATGTATATAACTAAATTCAACCGAAATCTAAAACATTCAGTCTCTCGTCTGTCCATCCAAACGTAGTGTGATAGATATCTGTCTGCGATAAGCCTGTACCTAACTTTATCTACTAATTATATAATTTATGTTTACTCCGATGTTATACAATAAACCATGTTCTAATCTAATCTACAGCGTGGTATGTAGATACTAATTTTGCACTATATTTTCGCGTGGAATAGAGGTTTGAAAAATGAGTGCCTTGATCAGTGTTCTCGTAATTAAAAAACTAGAAACTACAAATGGCTTTTTGTACGAATTTGTTATACGTTTAAAGTAATCGAGACCGCGTTCCGCGCTCTGATTGGTTGGTTCATTGGAGCCGGCTAATCAGAGCGCCGGACGCGGTTTCGTTTCGATTACTTTATTTATTTATTTACACTTTTTGCACAATGGGTATACAATGGCGGACTTAATGCCTAGTGGCATTCTCTAACAGTCAATCTTAGGGTGACGCAGAGAGCCAGAGAGACACAATAGTAGGTGTAAAATTTTAGCGTTGTTGCGAGTTTTTGAACATAATTTGATATGTATTTATACATATCACACAATATATACTACCTAATTAAATATAATTAAGAAGTAGTACCCGCACTACGCCCTCAATTCGGAAAGTTTACTTTTAATTAATAGATGTCAAATGATCCAACATTCCAGAACCCACTAGAATTTATACTCAATTTTAGATTACGCGAATGAAAGGTAGAACCCCAGCTGTAAGTAGGGCTAGGTCCCCATCAAATTGAAAAACTGCAATTTAGAATTCTAAACTTAGATTTTTAATTCGTATGTAGAATTAAGACCAAGGACTCCCTAATTATCTTAAGGAGTAGGCTCAATACTCTTTTAGATAAAAAAGCATAAACTAATAACGCTGCTTTTTTTTCAGATGGCTGGAACTCAAAAAGTGATCCATTCAAGAAATTAGAGTTCGGTAAATGGGAGCTAACTATACCAGCGAACCAAGATGGGTCGTGTGCCCTCAAACACGACTCCCGAGTGCAGCTCATAGTCAATGACAACTTGTACAGACTGTCGCCTTGGGCCAACTATGTCAAGCCGTTTGAAGGGTTCACATACCAACAGTTTATATACAGACCTGATCAGGTGAGTGGAGTTGCTCCTTTATACACACATCGTCATATCAACAGCCTATCAGTGCCTGCAAAGCAAAGGCCTCTTTTCACTCGGAGAAAGTCAATCTATGTATGAGTGTTAATCACCATTAGGGTTGCCACCCGTACTTTATAATAAAGTATTGTACGTTATTTAAGGTAATTGTACTCTATACTTTATAAGAATAATAAAGTACACGAAAATACTTTATTTTTGCAAACTTTATTTCTATTATAGTCGTAAGTATTTTTCGGTAAACTTATCGATTCGATATCGATATTTATCGATTTATGTTGAATCGATAACTTGCCAGCGCCACTTAGACAATTTCTAGTAAAAAAATTAATACAAACTGCAAAAAGCAATAAATAATATATTTTTAAATATAATACTAAATAAAAATAAATTGTACTTTATTTTTGTACTGTGTACTTTTTTTTCTTACCTATAATCGTCAATGTACTTTAAATACCAAAGAAAAAGGTGGCAACCCTAATCACCATGCTTGTTCAAGGCGGTTTAGCGATTTCAAACTTATGATTAGACAATTCCTGGTTTGCTAGCGATGTTTTTATAAGCAAAACACGTGAATGTAGCAAACAGACTAAACTTTATTCCATCTTTTCAAATATATATAGACAATTATATTTTTAAATATACCATAAACAAACATTACAAATGTAAGTCTCTATGTTTCAACAGAGATGGTGTTACAAGTAGCAGAACACAAACAAATACTTTTATTATTTTGATACATCATTACAACAGTTTTCCTACATCGTCGTTCAATGGTGGACAAGAATGACACAAACCACGATGCTAAATTATGTAACAGCTTTAAAATACATCATCTAATAAGCAGTATATTTTCTATATATAGCCTGTATCGTAGAGGATTTACCGTATCGGTATAATGCTAAATTTTTTATATTAATAATGTTTAACTGACTGCCTCGTTAGCCGAGTGATCGCAAGTGCGACTGCCGGGCAAGGAGTCTCGGGTTTGATTCCCGGGTCGGGAAAATGTTACTAGGTATTTTTTAAAAATTCTCAGTGGCAGCACGGAGTCTAGAATTGTGACCGATATATGGAAAAAGGCTCACCCCATATTACATGGGACTCGTAACATAAATAGTGAAAAGTGGGTATTACATTGTTCAGTGGCATAATGTACACCTCTGCCTACCCCTTCGGGGATAAAAGCCGTGATGTTAAATTTGTTTGTAATAATGTTTAATTGTCGATTTTGGACAAGTACATTACCATTTTTACTAATTTTCGGTTTTAATGTTGATGTTTCAATATTCTTTAGCCGGGTGGTCGCTAAACCATTGTTATACAAATGACACAAGACTCAGAAGTACTCCAAGTAGATAAACGTATTAATAATAAAAATATATATTTTTCCAGCCGTATCAATTCAAGCATCAGAAAGTACCGAAGCCCAAATCTCCCCGTATATACGAGTGCCACGTGGGTATCGCTACCCCGGAGGGCAAGGTCGGCTCATACAATGAATTTAGAGATAATGTTCTGCCTAGGATTAAGAATCAGGGTAAGTGTACTCTTAGAATAAGAAATATTGTGAATAAATCTGATCAGTGGATTTTTAACTTTATTACGAAACGATAAGGTTGAATGCTCATTGGCCGAGTGGTCCCAAGTGCGACTGCCGGGCATGGGGTCTCGGGTTCACAGTAGTAGCACGGCGTCTGGAATTGTGCCCGGTATAGGCTTACCCCCTATTACATGGGGCTCATAACATAAATAGTGAAAAGTGAGTGTTACATTGTACAGTGGCATAATGTACACCTCTGCCTGGGTAGGGAATAAAAGGCGTGATGTTGTTGAAAATGTATAAAAGAAATTCACGTATTAGCAGCCCAGTGTACAAATCTTCCAGTAAATCCTTACTAATATTATAAATCGGAAAGTGAGTTTGTTTGTTTGTTTCACTTTCACGCCGTAACCACTAAACCGATTGCTTTGAATTTTTGCAGACGTAAAGTTAGAAGTCCGGATTAAATAATAGAGTACTTCTTATCCCGGAAAAATTGACATTCCCGAGGGAAAACAAAAGTATTGGTATAGATGGCGCTGTGTATATTGGTATATGTAACAGGCTACTTTTTATCCTTTTGTAACGCGAGCGAAGCCGCGGGTAAAAGCTAGTTTTAAATATTTCTAACAGAGTATTGGTATTCCAGGTTACAATGCAATACAACTGATGGCCATAATGGAGCACGCGTACTACGCCTCCTTTGGATACCAGGTCACAAGCTTCTATGCAGCAAGCAGGTAAATACTAAATGCTAAATGAACTCAGGCATAATAATAATCCAAATATTTTATAGAACCTGAAATTGAATGTCCTAACAATTAATATTTTCTGTAATAAAATACTTTATGCCCGTTTACACCCACCATAACATAACACAACATCACGCCTTTTATCCCCGAAGGGATATACAGAGGTGCACACATAAGTAACACATATAAGTTCTTTAGCTTGAAGGAGCACCTAAACTGTACCGTTAGGTGTCACTTATAGGTTGGTGAAATCTGAAAAGGCGTTAAGTGTCATCTCTACTAGCGGATAAGTTACTTAAAATTAAAAAAAAAATGGTGAAAATGGGTGTTAACATCTTGAAATCTAAACAAATTGATAATATATTATTAGCATCATATACCTGAATAGAAAACTAGCAAATCCTCTTTATTAAGTAAAAACGCGGGCTAATCACGTGAATATACTGAGAAAAGCTCTACTAGTTTCGAACCACAGAGGGATTCTTCGCGGCGACGTCGCCGCGACCGCGCACGTTGCTCATGAGAAAGAACCCCTCTGTGGTTCGAAAGTAGTAGATCTTTTCTCAGTATATTCACGTGAGTAACCCGCGATTTTACTTAATTTTGTATGTCTCACGATAGTTATTATAAAAAATCCTCTTTAGTCAATCTTTAAAAATTCCCTTGACACGTCTCCAGTCGTTACGGCACCCCCTGTGAGCTGAAGCAGTTGATCGACCGAGCCCACGAGCTGGGGCTGTACGTACTCCTGGACGTGGTACACTCGCACGCCTCCAAGAACACACTCGACGGACTCAACGAGTTCGACGGCACCAACTCTTGCTACTTCCACGATGGACCCAGAGGAACTCATCAGTTATGGGACAGCAGGCTGTTCAATTATTCTGAGTAAGTTTCAAGAACATCCTTACTTGTCCTTACTTATATTAGAGGTATAAATCTGAAAGTGAGTTTGTTTGTTTGTTCCGCTTTCACGACGTAACTACTGAACCGATTGCTTTGAAATTTTGCAGAGGTAAAGTTAGAAGTCTGGATTAAATAATAGGGTAATTTTTATCCCGGAAAAATTTGTTATTCCCGAGGGAAAACAAAATGTGTGTATTAGTATATGTCACATAGGCTACTTTTTATGCTTTTGTGACGCGAGCGAAGCCGCGGGTAAAAGCTAATAAAATTATATTTTGTTTAGTTTTTTCGGCTTACTCACGTAATTATTTGACTAGGAACTCGACTAGTTTTAAGCCTAGAGGCCCATATTAATGAGTAGCGTTCCGCGACCTGCAAATGTCCTCGTCAAATAATTACGTGAGTAAGACGAAAAACATAATAATAATTAATTTAGTGTGACTCGCAAAAGTTATAACATAAATGCTTTGTTAAGATATAAAAAACCTATTTTGCAATGTTAAAAACACCATTTTGTTTAAGATCTACTGGTATACATGTACTTAAGAAGGTAGAAGGTCCCTTCTCTAAGGTACCATACAATTGAATCCCATACAAATATTTTGGTACAAAATTAATAATAATTAATTTGTTTATTGTGTGTTTTCAGGACTGAAGTGCTAAGGTTCCTGCTCTCAAACCTGAGGTGGTACCAAGAAGAATATCAGTTTGATGGATTCAGGTAAGAAATTCTCAGTAATACGTTTAAAGTCGAGACCTCGCTCGGCGCTGTGATTGGTTATTTCATTGGAGCCGGCCAATCATAGCGCCGACCGCGATCTCGTTTCGATTACTTTTCACGTAAAACACGTACTAAGGCTTCTGAATTTGTGTTAAATAAAACTCGTTACACTATCATATCAGTCATAAGACTTGTACTGCTATACATAGACCTGCAGCTGTAGCCAAATGCCATTTACCGCTTGTCTACTTGTAGAATAGAAAACCTTATTATATGGAATTGACGCAAATTTTGACACTTGTCAGAGTCATCCTCATACATTTAGTTTTCTACTCTCTTTGTAGACAAGCGCTAAAGTGGCGTTTGGCTAAAGGCACTGGACAGATTTTCAAATCGAACTCTTAGAAGCGACATACATCGCGTAATTTTTAAACTGAACACGTGTAGTGTTGTTTATAAACTTTTTTACTGTAATAGTCGCTTTTCCGTAGTTCTAAATCTTCAGGAACATAAAACAAAGCACTACCAATTCAAAAATCATATTGTGGGGAGACACAACATTTCATTAACCCCTCAAGCGTCCTTATGAGCACCCGGTGGATAAGAAAAAATGCTCCATGCTGCTTTCTCTTTTATAAAATCTATTATTAATGTTTTGTTTTTATTTTGACTGTATTTGTTTTATTTCTATTGTGATGATCCTTGTTTTCGTGTGCCAATGGCCAAATAAATGCATTTTGTTTCTTTCTTTCTTTCTTTCTCCAAATGTCACGTGTGCACCCGTTGGATCATAAGGAACGCGGACGCTCGACGGGTTAATTTATGCCCTCTAAATGAACCTCCCAATCTCCCTTCAGGTTCGATGGTGTCACCTCAATGCTGTATCACTCGCGTGGTATCGGCGAGGGTTTCTCCGGCCACTACGACGAGTACTACGGCCTCAATGTGGACACCGAGGCTCTGGTGTACCTGATGCTAGCCAACGAGATGGTGCATAAGATCGATGGCAGGGCACTCACTATTGCTGAGGTGGGTAGATTACGATTATTGATAGATACGTTCTTTTCATTCAGTTTTGAGGGTCGTATCGGTTCGAAAATACCGTATAATATGAAACATTTGACGGATATCGTAGGATAAAATGTCAGAGGCCTTAAGATTTGGACTCTCTATGAGTGTTTGTTATTTTACCTTGAGTTGAGTGAAAACTAAACACTATATAAAAGAAACTCGTGTTAGTTACAATATAACTCAAGAACAGCTAAATCGATTTGGATGAAACTTGGTGGGGAGGTAGGTACCTTAGAACCAGGAGATGGACATAGGATACTTTTTATCCAATACTTTGTATTACTTTTAACCGAAAATCACGAACCAGAACGGGAAAAATCGGGATTGCGCGTACGAAGTCGCGGGCAGCAGAAGCCAGAAGAAGTTTTACCTGATCACTATTTTTATGATTAAAATTGAATTCTATCGAATAAAACGCTTATCCAATATTAATAAATACTTCTCTAATTTCCAGGATGTATCAGGCATGCCAGCATCTTGCAGACCAGTGAACGAAGGCGGCACTGGTTTCGATTACCGGCTGGGTATGGCTATACCTGACATGTGGATCAAACTGCTCAAGGAGGAAAAGGATGAGGATTGGAAGATGGGTCACATCGTGCACACTCTAACTAACAGGAGGTGGATGGAAGGCACCGTGGCCTACGCTGAGAGTCATGACCAGGTATGTTGTTGTTATAGTTTTTTTTTAATAATTAGTTAATCCTTCACGAATTATAGCAATTGAATCGTTTCCTTGAATCGTAGCCGCGGAGGACTTAACGGGTTAGCGGGGCTCCGGCTCGAAGTGCAGGAGTAGGAACGGGGTGGTTTTTAGAAAATAAAAAATAAAATGATTTTTCTTTTTTTCTTTAGTCAGTAAGAGTCTGACACTCCCTCCCGCTTCACCTTGGCCGGAGAAGTGATTCGATGATTTTCCCCCCTTAAAAAAATCCTTAAATCCTACGAATGGTACGTTACATAGGTGCTGGTGAATACATAGTCTCTGCCTACCCCCATGGGATACAGGCGTGAAGTTATGTATGTATGTTAAATATTATGTACAGAAGCGATCTAATGCGGAATAAGTTAACATCTTACTTCTAAGATGTAACTAAATAAAAATGCCGTAAATGTGTAATGGATTCATGCTGTCAGTACGTTCTTAGGTACCTTATAAACCCCGAGGTCAAAGACAAAATATTTTTTTTTTCGATTAGACCAGCTAGACACTTTTGAACATCAACAAAAAATGTAAAAGTGAAGCTATTTGCTCATTCTAAGGTGTAGATTCCTATGGAAAAGAACGAGCAAGAAACTTCATAGGTTACTAATTTTCAATCAGGCTGCAGACAACCGCACGGGTTACCACAGTTCCGGGTGGAAGCAGAAGTTGGAAAGGGGTGGTTTTAGTCAGTAATACTCTGACACTCCTTCTCGGTTCCCGGAGGAGTTAGATGAGTGTGGGAGAGCCATGCTTCGGCACGAATGGGTCGGCTCGACCGGAGTGATACCACGGCCTCACAGAAAACCGACGTGAAGCAACGCTTGCGTTGTGTTTTGTCGTGTAAGTGAGGTTACCGGAAGCCCAATTACCCTCCCCTTCCCCAATCTCCCCAATTCCTGAATCCCCAACGATCCTCAAACTCCTAATCTCCAAAAGGCCGGTAACGCACTGGTAACGCCTCTGGTGTTCCAGGTGTCCATGGGCGACGCTGATTGCTTACCATCAGGTGATCCGTCTGCTCGTTTACCGGTTTATGCCAAAAAAAATATATGATATTCTGCTCAAAAAAGTACCTATGATGTGCATATAAAATTGTAACCTTTAACTCTTCTTCTCAGGCGCTGGTAGGCGACAAAACAATAGCATTCTGGCTAATGGACGCCAGTATGTACACCCACATGTCGACACTGAGCGAGCCCAGCGCCGTCATAGAGCGCGGCCTCGCGCTGCACTGCATTATACGACTCATCACGCACGCGCTCGGCGGGGAGGCGTACCTCAACTTTATTGGTAAGTCTACAACTACATAACATAACATCACGCCTTTTATCCCCGAAGGGGTAGGCAGAGGTGCACATTACGGCACTTAATGCCACTGTACAATGTAACACCCACTATGTTATGAGTCCCATGTAATGAATGAGCCTATTGCCATATACCGGGCACAATTCTAGACTCCGTGCTAAGACTGAGAATTTTTAAAAATACTTTGCCCGAACCGAGAATCGAACCCGAGACCCCTTGCCCGGCAGTCGCACTTGCGACCACTCGGTCCACGAGCAGGCAGCACTAATAATTTATGTTATTTTTATTTTATTTAGGAAACACACAGTCACATAAAAATCAAAACTTATATAAGAAAACAATAGGTTGAAAAAGACTTCGAGTTCCATACAATTTTTAAGTGTAGCATAAGTAACCTACCCACAATTTATTTTAAACAGAATACACAAGCACATGCAGTCAAACATAGGTTACATTATTTTAAGAGTAGGTTTAATTTTATAAGATGCTAAACTGTGGTTAAATATATCTATTTCGTTAAATTTACTATTATAGGTGTCTGTGCTACGTCCGAAGAAGCTATTACTGGTGTAAACTGTTTTATAGAAAGGATTGAAAAAAGTTTTGTGTACGGGAACCAGGTCTGGGTACTCTTAAGGCAATTTCTTCAGGGGCGTCAATGAAATTTTTCAAGATTTTATAAAGAAATACTAAGTAAATAATAAGAAATACTAGGTACTAAGTACTTAGTCTTCCTAAATATTAATTGATTAATTGAAGTATGCGGTTTAGTTCACATGTACCATTGAAGAAAAGCTCTATTTTTAAAGTTATCTACGAGACGTAGCACTTCTAGTTTGCTTTTTGATAATTCTTGTCCTAGATGAACACACTGTAGAAAGAAATACATCTTATACTGTTATCTTATACTATTATATAAAGCGGAAGAGTTTGTTTGTTTGAACGCGCTAATCTCCGTAACTACAAGTCTGATTTGAATAATTCTTTTTGTGTTGAATAGTGCATTTATCGAGGATGGCTATAGGCTATAAAACATCACGCTACGACTAATAGAAGCTGAGCAAAGCGTGTGAAACCGCGCGGAAGTACCTAGTTTCACCATAAAACAACCACTCACAACACAGGATTGTCCTAGTGCAGGCATCTAACTTTATGAGATCAATTTTACTTGATCTTGATTTACTTGAAACATATTTTGTATTTTGCATTTTTGAATTATGAATAAAATTTATTTATTTACTTAATTCTTACATAACTCCGCAGGTAACGAGTTCGGTCACCCCGAGTGGTTGGACTTCCCCCGCGCCGGCAACAACTCGTCCTACCACTACGCGCGCAGACAGTGGAACCTCGTGGACGACCACCTACTCAAGTACAAGTTCCTCAACGCCTTCGATAAAGACATGAACGAACTTGAAAATAAATATGGATGGCTTAGCGCAGCACCGGTTTGTACTATACTATTTAATTTAATATTTATTTTTAAAGCTGTATTGTAACTTTTTTTCTACTTGATAAGGTCAGGGTTTGGTCTCGATCTCGGCTGATGCGCCTCGTCGCAAGCGAGATGGCCGAGGATGGAGAACTTATGTTTTATATGTCGATTTTTATACAATTACCTCTAGGATAATGATATTTAAGTCTAATGATGATCTGACATACAGAATTTCATTATCCAGTTAACTAAATACTTAGATAAAGCAGCTTTACCCACCTCTTATATAAGAAATGGCGGCAAATTAGCAGATGCATCACCTGATGGTAAGCAATCGCCGCCGCCCATGGACACCGGGAACATCAGCGGAATTACAAATGCGTTGCCAGCTTTTTGCACATCCAGTAAGCCAGAGCCATTTTATTCCTGAGACAAACTAGGCAAGTGCCAAAGGCACCAGGTTGCAGAAGGGCGCCGTGAGACGCTTGTACCTACCCAATTGCCCATAGAGTGACGGCAGCGCCAAAAAAAAAAAACAATTAGGTACTTTCCTTATTAAAAAATAAATTACTTCGACTGTTCGATACAATAGAATATTAAAAAATAATCACACTTCACCATTCATTAATTTTATGATCAACTTAATTTTAATATTTTTCCAGCAAATTTTTAAGAAATAAGTATGCTGTGTGACGCAAAAAAAACGTAAAGTCACAAATCACAATACACAATCTCGTAAAAACTTAATAAAAAACTGTCGTTTTTGACAAGTTGGCAAGTACCCAATTAGGTAGGGGCACCTTTTTTTTTAAATGGGGGAAAATCATCCAATGACTTCTCCCGCCTTGGGTTGGCGACAGAGTGTCAGACTCTTCGAGCCGGAGCCCCGGCAACCCGATAGGCCTTCCGCGGCTCCGTATCGGGCATCAGCCCTACTGGGCCCCATCTATGGTGATCTGATGGCTCTTTGAGGCGCGCGCGGAACGCGACGCGCCGTACGAACGGGTCTGGATCTGGTCGGGCGGCGAGCTACCCTTGCTCACCGTCCGACGTTATTTAGTCGTTGTTATTTTAGGTAGCGGCACCTAAGAGGTGCTTGCTAAATGTATAATCCGCAGTAACCTCAGCTTAGCACATTTTTTAGTTCCATATCATCCTGATTACGGTTGGTTTATCATACCAATAAAATCCAGTCTAATAACGACCTGTATTCCAGGCGTACGTGTCGTGTAAGCACGAGGGAGACAAGGTGATATCAGCGGAGCGCGCGGGGCTACTGTTCGTGTTCAACTTCCACCCCTACCAGAGCTTCACTGACTACAGGGTCGGCGTCGACGTGCCCGGCAAATATCAGGTACGGTAATCATTTATTTGTTTAAATATCAGCTCTTTTTAACCGTTTGTATGTTTTTGTGCAATCTATACTTCTATACTAATATTATAAAGAGGAAAGATTTGCATTTTTGTATGTTTGTAATGAATAAACTCAAAAACTACTGAACCGATTGCAATAATTTTTTCACCATTCGAAAGCTGCATTATTCAGAAGTAACATAGGCTATATAATATCACGCTAGGTCCTATAGTTGTGGAGCAGTAACCAAAAATGTTTTAAAAACGGGGGAAAAGTATCGTTCCTGAGGCCTTCCGTGGCGTGCGCTGAGCATATAGTTAAAGTTATACAAAAATGTTCTATAGATGAATTGTTTATCTTAATATTATTTTTAAAAAAGTCCGCGAGAGCATATGTCTACCTTTTATAGTTTACCCATAACAATCGTTTTAATGAATGGTTCAATCCTTATAAAAGTTTGCTCTAGATAACTTTTGAATTGTTCAATCGGTTACCTTAAGACGCGACATCGACAACGGAGGGCAGGTCGCTAAAAAAAAACTGAGAATAAATATAAATAAAACGTAAAACTATGTAAAAAATCTTAAGTCCCCCCGTGCGAAACCGGGACGGGCCGCTAGTTATCTATAAATTGGCTGAACCGATGTGAGTGCTACACTTTCTAAGTATATTAATTAACCAATTCAAAAAAAAGAGGGGGTTGAAGTCGGCTTTTTTAAACTTAGTTTATTATTAGTTTATTTTACGTAAGTTTATTTTACGTCTCAAGGGACAATTGTTAGGTAGGTAGCTGATAAAAGTCGACAAATTATTTTAGTGGTAAGGGAAGTAATACACATTTTTTTTCACATAAGTAACTTCAATTATGTTTGTAATCACCAACCCGCATTGAACAAGCGTGGTGATTAATGCCCAAACCTTCTCCGTGTGAGAAGCTTTGCTCAGCAGTGGGCACTTATAGGCTGTTGATGATGATGATGAACTTCAATTAAGCTACTGGCAAAAGATAACATGGCAATAGATTTATTCAGTTATCCATAGTTCATATAACAAAATTAGGAAATCTGCATTCATATTTAAATAAACACTATCAAAGTATATGAATTCTTATTAAAGTATTGCATTTTTATGACTAAATATTTCCCCAGGTGGTACTATGCTCAGACAGCAAGAAATACGGTGGCTTCGGTCGCGTAGAGCCATTCGGAGACTTCCACTTCACGCAGGAACACCCGTGGGGCAACCGAAGCGATTCAATACAGGTAAAAAAAAATTGTCAATCATTTCCATCAAGTACTTTATTTTACACCAATTGGCACATCCAGATTTGAGAACATTAAAACATCAAGTAGGTATATAGGTACAGACGCTAGCAGGTCAAATGATACCTTTCTGTCAGATTCCTTTATTAGACTTTCAACTTTATGTTTTGGATATAAAGTCGATAATCCAAAAACATTGACAGATTGCAGCCGGCTGACCTGCTGGCGTCCGTATTAGGTGGGTACTAGGTACAGACACTGGCAAAATATTCATTATTTTTAATACATTTTCAACCTTATGCTTTTGCAATAAGGTGTATATCTATTACAGTAACTTGCTTTCTTGTGACATTGTTTGAAACATTCAGATTTGCATGGAATCGACATTGATATACATTTTAAATACAATAGACATCGAAGAATAGAGAATATATTTACTGTATCTATTTTAATACATTTATAAAACATTATTTTTTTTGTTGATTTTCTTTTTTTAAAACGACATTGAACTAATAACAAATAGAATATATACACATAACAAATAACATGCATTTCTTTTTAATTTAATTAACATCAATTATAATAACTATCGTGAGACATAATAAATTAACTAAAAATCGCGGGTTACTCACTGGAATATACTGATCTGCCTACGCGACTAGGTTGAAGGCTGCGCGACATCGCCGCGACCGCACACGCTGCTCATGAGTGTCAGTATCGTTAATCGTTGGCCCAGTGGTCGCAAGTGCGACTGCCGGGCAAGGCGTCTCGGGTTCGATTCCCGGGTCGGGCAAAGTATTACTGGGTTTTAAAGTCTCAGTAGTAGTACGGAGTCTGGAATTGTGTCCGGTATATGGCAATAGGTTCACCCCCTATTATATGGGACTCATAATTTAAATAGTGAAAAGTGGGTGTTACATTGTAGTGGCATAATGTGCACCTCTGCCTACCTCTTCAGAGATAAAAGGCGTGATGTTATGTATGCATGTAACCCGCGATTTTTAGTTAATTTAACATCAATTATTTTGGATAGCTAATAATAAAATTAGAATTACTCAATAAGTAATAATAACATTGATATAGCTTGTAACTACTAATATGAATTCGAATAGACACAACACTTAAAGTTTTCTATAAACATCAATTCAACATTTCAATAAACACCAATTAAATTTGAATTAACTACACACAGTAATTTAATTAACTATGTTGAACACACGGCCATACATCAACCTATACAAAACCAGTTTATCCTGGTGTCGCGTCGCATCATCTTTCCCCACATTTAACGTTCAGTTTATACTGGTTATGTAAAGCTCGATGTGTAGCCGTGTGTACAATGGCCGGTACATCAACCTACTCCAGTGTGTCAATTTTTGTCATTGTATTTCTGACTTTATATCCCAACGATAGAGTTGAAAGTCTAATAAAGAAACTCGACAGAAAAGAGTAGGTCAACTGCCCATTATACGGCTTATTCACTTAACTGTTCGACGAGGTAACTCGACTAATTTCGAGCAACAGTAGGGCCCATAATGATTGTGAACCCTAATCTTCTATAGTTACCTCGTCAAATATGTAGTTACGCGAGTAAGCCAGACAATGTAAATGTCTTTTTATTTCATAAAATTGTAGACACTGATTTCTACATACAACAAGAAAAATCGACATAAAAATTATATTATATAGAAACATCAAACGTCAATATTACTATAGTTCAAATAAATATCTTTCCCAAAATATTCTTCAGATTCTATATCAGACCATAATTTTATTTATGTTCCCAGTCTGTGCTCACTATAAAATTCCCTGGTTCAGTCATTCAGCCTTTCCTTTGCCCATCATGGCCATAAAATTTTAACTAATCCAGTTTATTGCCAGTATTTTATGGAACTAATTAATTACTCATACTATCAACTTTCAAATGAACTGTACCAATTTTATTGACTAGATTTCAGCAGTATACCCTTTTTATCTAATTTCAGGTATACATCCCCTGCCGCACAGCTATTGTCTACGCTAGAGTGGATTAGATTTGTAACAAAGTTGGAAATTTGGTACTTTTTGTACTTGATATAAAAGTATCACAATTTGATGCCAATGATTATGCTTTAAAATCAGTTGAACTTTGTTTGACTATGAAGTGTGTTATTGAAATTGCTATTTTTCGAAAGTTTTGGTTTGGGGAGGTTGAGAAAATGCTATTGTTAAAGTAGGTATTAATTCTACATTTTTAAAAACTGTTATTAAATAAATGATCTGTTAAAAAACATTGATTTTCATTATTTATTCTTCTGGTGGTATCCCTATTAATAAATCGTTCTTAGGTGTACAGGTGGGGGGTTTCAGCTTCATGAGTGTCACTTTGTATCCCATTTCCTCAGCCAAGCGGGCCCTGTCAGAATCAATGATTGCCATGCATCTGGCGCCTCTGACTGCCAATGGATGCTCCTTGTGTGTTTGGTCAGCTGCATGAGCTATACACAAGTAATTCACAATGGGTACACTTGCGAATGCTTGGCTCCTGGGATATATCAATCTATTTGTGTAATGGAGAGATCCATAGCAACAAGGACTGACCACAAACTTTGCTTTTGCCTGCACACATTTGTCCAGGATCAAATCAGTAGCAATACCACAAGCATGTAATCCAACACCAATGTCAAATTCACCAATAAAGAAATCTAAATTGCACTGGAAGTAAAATACATTATTGATTCGCAATTTTTGTATTCTCTCCCTGGCTGTGAACAGTGATTGCACTTTGTTCTCCAAAAATATAATAGTGCATCGTGGTAGAAGGTATGCAAGCAGGATACCTAAATGTCCACCTCCAGAGCAAAAATCTACGATGACATCTCCATCTGTAGCCATTTTCAGCACAGCTAGTACCAAATTTTCTAATTGTTGTGATTTCCTTTGGGCTCTTGTATCAGGTAGAAAGCCTGCATAAGGACTCGCATATTCAGGTATATCTTTCCATTCAAAAGCAGGTTCGTAATTATTCTCAGATATGGGCAACTCCATTCCTTCTTTTATGAAACTTAGAGCTGCCTCTATGTCTTCTTCCCTGGTGTATATCCTCTTCCTAGGATTATGCCTCTTAGGATCTGTTTTGTAAAGGCTGACATCTTCAGATGTTGGCAAGGATATATTTTCTGATGTTGTCTGTTGTATGTCAAACTTGTCCATGTAACAGACAAATGTATCCTGTACTTTTTGCAAGGACATGACTTTCTTGTACCACCTGTACGTGGTTGGCAGCAGAGATTCAAAGCGCTGCTCTCCTATGGTTTGTATTATTACATGGTATGTTGGCAGCAGCACAAGATCTGCGAGTGTCAAGAAAGGGCCCTCAGCATATTCATGATTTACTTGAAGATCTTCTATTTTTGTGGTGCTTTCTATTAAACATTCTCTCTTTCTGAGCGATTTCCATTTCCTTGGTTTTGCAATCCTCTGTGCAGCTGATGTTCCTTCTCCACTTTCATTGGGAGTCTGTTTATCTGCAAGTGCTTGTATCTCAGCATTTGATGATTTCTCTGTAGGGACCTGCTTATCAGTTTCGGTTTGATTAGAACTTGCTTGTTGTTCCGCATTTGCAGGTTGTTCAGTACTTGGCTTTTGTTCAGCTGTTTGTTGCTGATCATTGGCATCACCTTCGTCTTTTGTAACATCTGCCTTGCTCATTACAGTTGACTGGTCAGTATCCACTGATTTTAAAACACACTTTTGCTCCTCATCTACTACTGATTCAGTCAGTTCAGCACTGGGCTGTTGCTCAACTTTGTCTAGTTTCTCAACAGATTCTTCTTCTTCGACAGATTGCAAGCTACCACTGTTGCTTGCAGGTGGACCACTACTTGTACTTGGTTGTGGATCCCTAGTTCCACTAGTCTCCGGACCATCTGTTGATTTTCCCCCCGCATTGGCTTGCTGTTCAGCTTTCACACTTTCCTTTTTAATATTCCTTGCTACTTTATATATGTTATGAACCCTGACAGGCTTCCTCAAATGATGTTCGAATCTTACCAAATGTTTAGGTAATTCTTTTAACTCCACAGCATTTGTTATCTCTTGCATAGCCTTTATCATATCTATTTCGCAAAATTTTGTCCAGATAGACACCTCATTTGGTGCTTGGAGACAACTATGGCGGAAACCAAGTAACCCTTCTTCATGTTCCTCTGGTATCCGACCACAGGTTCTAAAGATCGCAATATGTCTAGCCACGGCACAGAGGCCAGTCACTATGAGGTCATCATTCATGATAACAGGATATACGCACATAGCTACTGGCCACGGTACCTCATAGTCATTTATCATATAAACGAGATTCTCTTTAGCTAATATAACAGCTGCTTTTACTTGCTCTGGTGTTGGTTTTACTGGCACGAATCTTAAAACAACAGAGGTGCTGGGGCAATATTTGAAGATGCAAAATGCGATAAATGTTTCCAGTGGCACCTTCATCTTATGAGTATCCTGGTATTCCTTGTAAAATGTGTATGTTTCCAGGTGCACTGTGACATAGGTTTTCTTTCGAAAAGTTATCCCAACCATGATGAACTTATATCACAAGTAAGTTGCTCTTTCAAAATCTACGCAGTAACTTTTCCGTTTTGGTGTCCTTTATTCAGGTCGATCAATAAAATGTTGTATTTCTTTTATTTTGTAAACCTGACACTTGTGGAAGGATAGGATGAAGGTTGCAAATACCGGTTGCCAACATAAAATTTAAAACTCCACTTTTTTCAGGTTTTTATTATTCCTGGTAATTAAAGTTTATTATCAAATAGATGATTTTAAGGCTTGGTCTTTAAATTGGTTTTAGTGTTGTGTTTTAATCTTTGTATTCATTTGGTGTCTCGATCTCGCTCGACTTACCAGTCGACCTAGCTAGGTCACCACCAAGTGTAATATTTCTTTTAGACACACATAATAAAACACTTCCAATGTCAAAAGAGAATTTAATTATTATGATTTTCCCTAAAATCTAGAATTTTGTTTCAACAGTAGCCTTGAAGTAGTCAATAATTTGAAGGCCTATAACATTATGGGCGTTTATAGGGAAGCGAATGCTTTAACCTCCTGACTAAATTATAATAACTAACTATAGTCTGAGATCTTTTGCAGGTTTATTGTAAAATTGTGTAAATCGTGCAACAATAAAATATTGTGTGAAAATAAAATTATCTCTTCTTTATTTATTTTTATTTTATTAACGCTTCATGCACAAAGTGTACACAAGGTGGACTTAATGCCGCAGGCATTTTCTCCCAGTCTGACCTTTACGTTATCGGTTTTTAATTTACTAATGCGAATACCGGTTATCCTTCGTCTTTTTATTTATTTTGAAAGCTGACGTTTTATACTTTAGTCATATTGACAAGAGAGTGACAAACAAACAAAACATGACAATGATATAGACAAAGTCAAAAATATAGAAATAAATTGAATTTGTATTATAGGCGGCACAAGTTAATATTAATTAACTTGAGTTCTCATACATTTGAATCCATTATACATAAGAGCTTCCGTACTTTCCACATATTTTAGTAACACAAACAGTTATAGTAGCAGTGGACAAAATGTTGGAGGTTATAAATGGATTTCTTTTGGTTTATTTTGTCGTATTGTGTACACTCAGTGTTTTAGTCCCTCAATTAGTGAAACCAGTAAGTATCGAATGTCTGTTCATGTTTATTTGATAAATGTAGCATAGAGTTAAATAAAATGATCCTGTTCTTTTGTAGATCGCAGCATGTTTTGCTAGACCATCGAATGAGGAACGATCGGTATGGTCAGAAATAATAAAACTTAAAGCGGAACAAAAAGGGATTTCTATGAAAGATGAGTTTGCTGCTTACTCGAAGCTGCAGCGGAAAATAAATAAGTTAGAAAGCCAGTTGAAAGATGATTCGCAAACTCGTATTGGGAAGAATTTAGCGGTTAAAAGTACTGTTCAGTTGGTTCTGCAGGTTGGTGTAGGTGTTACAACCTTGTTGTCTGTCATATGGTTCAGGCGGGAACCCATTGTGGCCTTGAAAGGAGACCTTTTTCCTCTAACAACTATGCTAAGGTACCCCAGTGATATGCCCAATGCCATCTCTACTCATGTCTGGGTGTTAATAACTAATGTCTCTATCAGAACTCTATTGAAACCTATAATTTCTTAATTAACTTATTTATGGTGTATTTATTTCTGTTGTTATAATAAAGGTTTTAATTTATTATACTACTGTCTTTCATTTCACATAGTCAAATATTTGTAAGGTTATTTCTGTACACAAGGAAGAATGAATAAAAACATAATATTTATTTAAATATTTTATTCATTAAACAAATAATAGTACTTTATACTCAGTCCGACAAATGTCCAAATGTGGTCTCTAAATTAACATAACCATCAAAGATCTACTTGCCTATGTCTGGAAACCTTATTATGCTTAAATTATAAGTCACTCTTAACTTGAATATAATTATAATATTTAACAAACATCATTCAATCATAACAGCTATGATTGAAAGCATTTTATGCCATTGGTGTTCCCAGACAGAATAAAATCTATATAAAATTAACACAATTCTCAAATACTGGTCCATTCATACTTCATTATTGTATCATGTTATTATATTGGAGTCATTAAACTGCCATTTATTTAAATTGAACAGAACAATATGTCAATTATGAAAAACTGTTTAAAACAAACTCAATTCAATTGAGGTGAACAGTGACCATGAGCCGCAGTAATATATATAACAATAATATAAGTATGAATAGACCACCAGATTCAAAATTCGCAAGTTGGAACAATGTGGGACAGTTATATATTTAATTTTTCCATAACTAATATTTACAAGCCCTATATCACAGCTTACGTTTTACTATTTTGTGTGCTGAGACTGAAATACAGATTTATCAGTAAAAATATAAACTTGTGCATCAAACTGTGTAGTCAAATATTTTTCAATAACATTTACAATGGACGAATTCTTCAGGGAACTAGTATCGGATAACAACTGACTAGTCCAATAAAAACAGTGGGTTTCGTAAGAACTAGATTACTATAGTAAAAAGCCTGTTTAACACAGTAGACTTACACAGCAACAACATAAAATAAAAACATCAAAAAAATTAATAATTCTAACCAAAGTTCCCAAAACAATATTTCTCTTATGTTGGCACAATTTACTTCACATTCTGTGCATATAATCAGCGAAACTTATCATACTATTGAATGTAATCATCTGATGACTGATCCTAGAGTAATGATTAAGGCATTTACATGGTTCAAGCACTTAATGAGACTAGAAACTAATGACTAAATTAATTCAGATTGCTGCATGCGGATCATTATCGTAGGGTCCAATCCAATCCTATAATAAATGAACTGATTACATAAATGTTTTCTAAAACATATTTTAATTTTGTGAAAATACAAAATTTTTGTTCATAACATTAATTTTGGAAGTGCAATTATTTTATAATGTACTAGCAAAATACTTTTTAAGCAAAATTACTTTTTAATTTTTATATCTAAAATTAGTTCAACAACAAGAATAATTTCAGTCATACAATATACTACGATACTAAATAATGACAAAACAGGAAAATTGCACCAATTATGTATTAAAAGCTAGCATTTGATAGCACGATTAGGTTGTTGACACATATTTTAACAAATAAGATCCATTTAAAAAGTATAAGATCGAAAGTGTGTACTTTATTTGGATCCAAAGTACAAAAAACAGAAGGAAATGTATCTTATCTGCATAAGTAGTATCACCTTGTAAGTACATTATATAAATCCTTTACATTACATACTTTTACACAACAATAATATATATATGTATATAATTGGCCAATTAAATGTGGCCCAATTTCTAAGGATGGATATTTCGATTTCTTTCAAGCATATTTGCTTTTCTTTATAAAAATTCTAAATAATGTTGCTTGCCAAGTAATGCCTAAGCTTTTTACAATTTTGAGAACATGGTGTTACGCTTCGTCGTACCACATTGAGACTTGTGGGTACCGGAGAGCTTCTGTAATTTCTCAGCCACAACAACCATGCGATGTCTCTCAGTCTCGCTAAATGGACATTCGAGAACCTTGTCTAAACGTCGGCCTACGAAACTACTATTTTGGCGCTCAAGGCGGCTCGGAGAAAATGAACGATTCCTAAGTAGTTAGCTAAGTGTTCTCATAGAAGGAACTATTAAAATGTGTAGTCAGTAGATAGACGACTGCCTCGTATGTTGACATCATGATTGCCGTGTTTGGTATCTGACGTACTAATTGTGTGCCTAAGCCCCTGAAACGACAGAGAAGTTATTAATAATAGAATAGTTGGCACAGTTACCGAATATGTTGACTTTTGATAAGATTGCAGCACTTACCTATAGACTCCTCGGTATCCCTCCTCCTTCAGTACTGTATGCAGCGTTTGCCAGAACTTGCGGTACTTGTTACCTTCCTCTCTGAGCCGTGTTCTTGCGACTTCTGCAATTTCATAACGAAATTATGAAGAAAAAATATCGTTCAAAATTCCTGTCACTTCTCGTTGATAACTATTATCTTATTTACTTGCTATTATTAATTAATGGAAAATCACGGACGTCCATTGCTTTTGGCCAAGATAACAGGGTTTTTTTCAAAAAATCAGTACTTAAGCAATGTTGATCCTCGTATACGCTTATTAACTTTCCCTATCAGGCAGACGGAAAATATTCTAGATAAGGTGACACATCGGTTGGCTTACATATGCATTATGTTAATGACCTCTTGTGTATAATCACTGTAATCTATTTATACAATGGCAAAGAACTAATGGTCCTTCAAAACTCCTTTAATGGATGCTAATTAAAATGCTACAAGTGTTACTGAATTAGTGTATTTGATTAGCGTATCACTTGTTTGATATTTGCTGCCTCAGATTTACTTTTTTTACATTGAAATGGTATTAAGATAATGAGTAGTTTCTTAAGGTTTATCATGTGTAGTATGACTCGTACCGTGTGGATACGCAATGCAAGAAGCGACTGTCTTTGAGAAAGCTCCGGCTCCCATGAACTCGAGGAAGTCTCTAGGAGAGCGCTGGTCGCTGGGCACTCCGTCCACGCTCCTCGCTGCCATCAGTCTCGCCTTTACACCCTCGTACAGCACGAAGTGAACCACAGTCTCACTGATGCCCATGTACGAAGCTGTTATACCTTTGTAGAAACCCCTAATACCCTAAAATAAAACAGAATTTTCAGTATAACATGTCTTAAATATTTTTATATCATTTTATTAGCTAATTAGAGATGTATTGTAAGTACCGTTTTTGCGTATATCCTTTTAATACACTGCAACGCTGTGACATTCTGTCCGTCCAACTGCAGCCGCGTCTTCACAAACCAAATCGGATTGGTCATTGTGCAAGACACAAAACCTGCAACATATTGTTTTTTGTAACCGATGCGTGATGAGCGTAGACTTGTTTATTACAGCTATGAATAAAGCAGGGTTAGGAAAGAAAGACAATGTGATAACATAATGTTTATTTTAGTCTCCATTTCCATATCTCATAATATAAATGAGCGCGTTTCATGACACAGAAACTCGAGTAAATAATTCAATTCATAAACAGCGTGTAACGTTCATTACCTGCAGCGCTAGCTGCGGATAGGTGCACGATCGGGGTGTCCGGTGATATGTTTTGATTCAATATCGCCTTGGCTTGCGAGTACGTGCAGAAGTATATGGCCCTAGACGGTGCCACTCCAACTATGTTGGGTCCTAGGCCTTTGAACAATGCTCTAGGGCCCTCAGTCTGGACTATGTGTCTGCAAAAACAAATTGCTGTCAGTATATCACCTTTGCACTTACGTCGGTGATAATAATTGAGTTAGCTCGTGACGTAAATGGATATCTCGTCCATTGAGATAATATTTTAATGTCAACATACAAACTATAAATACAGAGTTCGGTTGAGGTCGAGTCCTAACCTCGAGAAAGCTTAACTTTAATGTGTTTTGCGAAGGAGTCGTTACTTGTTCCTACATCCGAGATAGTGGTTTAATAAAAAATGCAAACCGATAAGCAATCAGCGGGTATTGGCAGCTGACTGCTAATCTGCAAATACTGAGCGCACCAATGGGGTCGCGATCGCGAATCCGGCCCACGTTCAGCTCTCGTGACACTTGGGCATCACACTTGTTATCTATTAACATACTCTTGATAACCGCACTAGTTGGAAGCGGTTTCAACTTATTCTTTGTGTCGGTGTCTGATTATTTAAGTACACACTAAATTAATTTTTATATCTCCATTTCATTGAATGTAGAATTGTGACTTTCCACTCAGATTTCATACATCGTGGTCGTTGCATTTGAATAAGTAAACAGTAGAATGAAAGGTCAACAAGACTGTTGTTTGGTGTACACTTTAGCAGCGTAGAAGCCCCAATCAGTCACGGAGTGGCTACAAGCCAAAACGACACTTATACATATAAAATAACACAGCAGCGAACACCTCACACAACTATAAACGTAGTTGTGTCGGAAATCAAATTTATAAGTCCAAGAATAGGCGGCGTGCTAACGGAATATGTGGGAAGGAAATGGACAGACGCGATATATCGTGATTGCAAAAAACACGAGATGTCATTTATGGACTTGATGCGGAACACGTGCAGAGATATGTAAATACTAAATACTATAGAGAGAGGGTCTTACCTGATGCACTGTATAAGGCTCATCCTGGACGGTGGCCTGGCGTGTCCCGCCCTCGCACACTGCTGAACCTGACAATTGTACGACATCAGCATACGATCTGCTTGCTTGCTGTATGCGAACATCGCGCCCATCGTACGTCTGTAGCCCCATTTGGCCTCCTGTATTATATGGCCAATTTATTATAACCATCGCTTGTGTCGAGCACGCATGCGGTCAGGGATAAATGGGTTATGTTAGCAGTCACAAATAGAGCAAGGGGGTAGCAAGCAATTTGGTTAACAACATCAACTAGTACTATGTACACAGCATTTGTATAGGACTCTTATTCCAACTATAAGCTGACATTGAATGTTCGTGACCTTCGATTAGCGCAAATATTTTTGTATGTTCGTGAAAAACACAAAATTTTGTTATAACACTGTTTTCTATTCTAAAAACATAAAGCAAATCTTTGTGCGCTTTACACAAGTGATGGAAACAATGGGACCTAGGCAAATGTTAGGGCCAAATGTTTCCATACTGCCAGCTTCCGAGGTAAAATATTTACGTTTCGTATCATAGATGAATCCGTTTTTTATCTCTAAGAACAACATCACTATATCGAGCAGTTTATAGATAAAGTCTGACAGGAATACTGTAATTAATCAATCCATTCATGCCTCGCCACTTGTTTATTTCATGCAAGTATATTTATTTCTAATTTTCAATGTTAACACAGCGCAGAAATCTTCCTACATCTATTTAATTCAATAATCCTGTTCCAGTTGTTTTGCTTGTCAATACATTTAGCATACTTCGGCGACATTGTAATTTTTACGACAAACATTGAAAGAGTACTAATATGCAAGTCAGATATTCTATTGTAAGCCGAGGCTGTATAGAAGCTGATTATTATTCTCAAAAATAAAACCGTTAGAGTGTTAACTCCTGGCAGACGAAGGCGAACTATGATAAATGATTAGAGTGAGTGCTAAAAATCAGTGGAAGAGTGTGAGTACCTAGCCTATGTACACCTACCAACATATATCAATCAAACTATGGAAAATAACGCAGTACCTAATCATTTGAGAAGCCTTGGAAGTTGATTCAATCCAGGCCAGACGAGACGTTGCTATCGTTTCCATCCGTTTCAATGATTGCAACGCAATACTATCGTGTACTCAAAATAGAAGACCGGACAAATTGTTATTGTTTGGGTAGCTACCAACTTAACGCTTATATCAAACTTGTCAGATAAGCGAAGAAAGCCAAGAATAAATTTGGAAATTTCCAAATATGGCAAAATAATACCACGTAACGTAACACATGAGTATCTGCTACCGTTGTAAGCGAAAGTGCATCACCAAGTATGCATGTCGAAGCCAATGAATGTTTATTGCAATTCCAACTTGCTCTGCATAATTCTACATTTAGAACAGCCTTGAGCGCCGTTAGCTTCAGAATGTTCCTATAATGACATTGTACAAGGTCATTATTAATCTTACATTTAACTGCGTCGTAAAACGCGAACATAACAATATCACGCAAAATTAATCTTGCTTAGTTAACTCAAGTTGAGCAGCCAATAAAATACAATTAAAACAAGATGTTCTTGTCTCAGAGCTGAGATATTTACACCAACAGTACATATTCGTTACCCAGGAAGAAAAATATAAGTAGGTAACGTCAAGAAAATGTCTGGCCTAGTTCAGTGGTTATTTTCGAATACTTGTTGATCTCAGTAGCCATTGAAAACAAATTTTTACGACTTTGGCGTTCTAGCATTCTAGCATCTGCATTGTTTTCAGCTATATATCATTTTACAGCGAACTTGAATATCAATCACTGCACTTGGTTTTATTTATAAACATCCTTGGTATATTTTGTGCGAACAAATTGATTTGGCGTGGCGTGGTAACCTATTCCTACATTTAAGAACGCGTGCTATTCGGATCGATTTATAGGGAAAATGAAATGGATGTAAATAAAAAAAATCGTTATTTAATGAGTTCTAGGCACGAAGGATGGTATTGTAAATCGAGACGGCTTTCCTACAACCGAATGCCATAAGATAGAAGTATTGCTGGTTGGTTGGAGTAATGCCAATGTTAGGTCACTAGCTCAATAATTTCTCTACGATATGAATGATAAAGCGATGTTGTTACAGCTAATTAATTTCTTTGTGACGACACAGCGAAAGATGTTTTGAATTCTGGTTTTCACACTAATGGACTTCGTGGTTGCGTTACGTCATTTTTTTTTCATTTTGCCAAAGAGAACATTGCGAAAAGGCGTGCCTGTAATTAGTTTGGTCTTCACTACAGCGATTTTTTCCAAGACGTTATCTCTGTAGTACCAATGCTAGTATCACAACCGATTAAATAACATGAATAGGTATCGTGGACCGGTTTATACAATAGTAACGAGGGAAAAAATTCGCCACACTGATAGTAAATTGCGCAGTTTGTGTACATTAGCAACAAAATATGCATTAATTCGTGTTATACTCGATTACTTTACGAGTTTGAACTGCCCACTTATAAATAGTGATGCGTCATTTAAAATTATAGTAAAGGTGTACTTACAAACATTAGCATTTTTGAACACGATCAACATATTATCACATCCTTCTGTTTCTGGAATTCATTATACGTTAATCTAGTTTTGTTATCGACTTGTAAACAATACACCCTATTATAAAACTGTATATGAAACGTGTTCAACAATGTACTATAAACTATAATGTAATAAGCAAATTAACGTACAAGTATAACTGTATATGATTAAATAGGTAGCTACATTATTTGGTTTAGCTTATTTAGAAATTAACTTGAGTTTTGTTTACATTGCTAGTGTGTTCTCTATTGATGTTTCCTGCAATTACATACAGATACGGCATTATCTATACCGTCGTAATGATTATAACATTGTTTGTAACATTTTCTTCTGATTAAATTCTATAATTAGATTTATGCATAATTAATTATGTAACTAAACGAAATTTGTACATAAACTGCGCAGTAATTTGTACTTAGGTTTTATCCAATTGTAATCGTTTTAAGATAAAAACGAATATCTTAAATACTAGTGGGTATAATCGGCGTAAAGAAATTGATTAAATTACTTATTATCATGTCACTAGATTGTTGAATCTATAAGCAGTATTTTTTTTAAGGGGGGAAAATCATCGAATCACTATTCTCGCCTTGGTGAGGCGGGACTGCGGGAGGGAGTGTCAGACTCTTTCTGACTAAAAAACACCCCGTTCCTACTCCTGCACTTCGAGCCGGAGCCCCGGTAACTCGTTAGGTTCTCCGCGACATATAAGCTACCCTCTTCGTTAAAAATACCAGAAAACTCGTTTTAAGCGTAGACTCCGATATTTTGTAGAATAAATAAAGTTCATTGACATGCACAGTTTTAATTTCAAGCAATGCTAAATGCTATATTTTACCTTAAATTAGGTCTGTTATGTAATCGGATGTTCAACAAAAAGTGTCTACATAAGTTCCTTTCCTATACAGAAATCCAAACACATTACATAGCTCAAATTGCAAATACGATTCAACAATGTAGATATAATATTCACAAACTTGGCACTTTTTACAGTACAACCGGTATAGGTACGTGTACTATCACATGTATTGTATTATTCCATTAAGGGGTAAGCAGTAACAATTTAAATATATCATCACAAAATTCATCAGTAACGTTACGACTACGACCCTTACCTTATAAGAACGAATGAGGAACCACAACCGAAATTGGTAGCGGTATGCAATTTTTACTACTTCAACAAGAAACCAAATCCCTACTAAGATTTTCTTTAAACAATGGCGAGCCTACAGCACAGACTTAAAAAATTAAACATTAAGTGTGGTACAGTTAAGTCAATTAAGCGATGTTTTGGAACAAACTAAACACACTCAAAACACCTGTTAAATTACGGAAACCTCATACAATTTCAGCAACAAACCAATTTAAACTCGCCCGTACAGTCCATTGATGTTTAATAAACATTGAAACGCTAAGATGATTATTCCTTGTTCTTTTTCAATCGAAGGTCGTTTTCCGACCATGAATATGTGCAACCTAGCAACCGATAATGGAAATCTTATCATTATGGACTGATTTAGACCATGGGGCAACGATATCTAATAAAAGCAGACCAACCGAAAACAATATGGGGCCATTAGATAAGGAGAAGATACGATGAATTCGAAGATGACCCAGTTTGAAGTTTCAAAATTGATTTGATTACAATTTTCCAAATGCTTCCGCTTAGAAATAGCACTTGCACTTTAATAGTCGCTTGCGCAGTATTCTCTTTATCAACAATCGTGTATTGATTAGGTCAGAATGATCGATTATCACGATTATTGTCATTGATGCACGTGGACAGACAATCGGTCAGCCTTGTACTAGTTTATCGATATACAATCTAGTAAAAGATAAATCGTTTTTAAAAGAAACAAAACATTAAGTCAGGACAATTATCCTAGAGATGTTATAATTTACCGACCCGTATTACCCCTTATTGTAGATACTTAATGAAACTTTTATATTCAATGTATATTTGCTTGTTAATACGCATAAATATTTTTATTACATAACTCACCGACAGCTTTATGATAAAACTGATAAACATTGCTATAAGCAATAGTATTGATAAGTCAAAACAATATCCGTAGTGTGAGTGGCCATTGAAATCACAATATGCTCGCGTGGGTGATACTGATCACTATTTGGCGGAAACTCAAAGCTTGTATTATAAGCATCATCTAAAATTCTTTAAGACGTTGATCAGCATGTTTCTCGGAAAACATGGAAATAGTCAGATTTGTAAAATGTTTTTGTATTTTACCTTTAGGTAGATACCACTATTTCTAGATAACATTATAAGCTATCTGGAATCTGGTCTGGATTTATAATAGTTATAAATGTTTGTCTAAAGAATGAATGAAGATAGATGAGTTTATTACTGAAATCAGAATGACTTTGACTTTACATAGTTAATGCTACTACGAGGCAGCTTCATCTAATCCTTTAGATCCCGCCATTTAATTTAGCACTCACTACAATCTTATCAATTTGAAATCCTGCGTACATAAGTGGATCAAACATGAATGCATTGAGAACTTTGCATAGCAACAAGTTACATTAACCAATAATGATAGGCTTATCTTTTCAACAATGTTTTCGTAGACTACAAAAAAAATTATCCGATATATTTATATTTTGGCAGTAGGTGGGCATCTGATTAATGTTACTAAGTGAGTAGTTAATTGGTTGAGAGCTTCAGCTATTAGATATAGGGACTCTAGTCGCCTATAAGCGATGCTTGCGCCATCTGTGTAAGAATTAAGTACGGATATATCTTAAGATTTGCCAAGGATAAAACGCCAGACATATCTAATATATAGTTTTTCCAACGCATTTCTTCTAAAGGCTCTTTAACGGAAACTTCGAAGAACATTGATGGGAAACATTGTTAGAGAAGCCTTAGCAGTAATAATTATTTACCACCATCCATTTACTAGTTTCCACCAGTTTTATCCGGATTAGAAAGAGATCACGATTTTTAGCCGCAAAATGATCTTTTAATTAGCAGATATGCCATAAATGTTCCCTTTTATTTCATTTCGAAGGTCAACTTTTAAACTGTAAATTTTATCACCTCCGGAAAAGTTTATGTACGTCTGGCTGGCGGATATATATCGTAGTGTAAGTAATATTTATTATTAGTGAGATTTTTATCGTGAAACGGTTCCTAAAACTATACCTACTAGCCATGTAGAATGATTTTATCTCAGCCGTAATATAAATAAGGAAAAATCTTACGTACACGAGGAAAACTAGCATGAGTTAACACCAATTAGCGTATAAAAATAAATTGATGTTATGGTGTTTCACGTTAACTTTTTGAACTAAGGTTATTTTTTACAAAAAAAGATCCGTCGCTTCGTAAATAAAAGTTACTATAGGATAATAAATGTCGAAGTTTTTAACAGTCGCTAAGGTCGTGCGGTTAGCCGCTCAGCACGAAAGGCATAATTTATTTATGGGCAAGAAACAAACAGTACATCTTTTATCGATCTAACAGTGACTTTGGTAAACACGACAGGAGTGATGCATCGAATCGTTCGCCATTCGTCTGGGTTGAAATCTATTTTTATTGACGTAGAATGTCTAAAATCAACTTGATCAATGAAAGACAAGCGTCTAAATCTAAACAACACAATGCGCATCATTCAATTTTTTTTTTTGCAATATTGTCCGTATCCGATTGGTAAATACAATGTGTGTATTTGCGAATTTAATTTATATACCTACCTACATAATATAAACATGGTATTTTTATGTCCTGGCAACATTTCATTTGAATCGATAAATTCGTTATTGAAAGCCTAGTCTGTTTTATTAATTCATTGTGAAATTGTTGTAGACAACTACCTAATTACTTTTCTACGATTATAGGAGTTTATTTTACTGTGTTGAAAAAAAGCAAGTCCATTGGATGTAGAATAATAAGATTTATCATCATTCATTCATCTTTCATTTCAATGATTCAAACTAATAATAATGACTTGTAATCTTAGTAAATAATGTGTATTTACCTAAATTATACACATCAAAATACTGTTTTCATAAAACATTCATAGTTTGGCATGTATCCATTAGCATAAAAAAGAAAAAATAAGCTATAAAAATATTAAAGGAGATTTTAATATCTGGCAATAAAGTTGTACATACCTGATGTTTAGGTATTTTGGAACAGATCTTCCTAGCATTATTTGTGCTGTCAGACGGAGGAGGTGAGGGTGGTGATAATCCAACTCCTTTCGAAGACTGGAGACGGGTCTTAACTACTTCTAACGGACATGTCACCACAGCTCCAGCTGTACCTGCAACTCTGCGAAAGAAAGAACAATGTTTTTTAAAAACTAACATGATTTAATAAATAAATGTTTATACATCAAATAAGCTATGACAAAACAGTCTCTATGGCAAAGGCACTAAGTACCATTTGATATAACAAATTAATATGTGCAAAAATGTAGGTATCACAAAATATAAATTTATGTAAACTACAATTTGCACAGGTAATTAATTCTAGCACTATTTAAAATCTTATTGGAAGAATAAGATGTTGTAAGTGCATTCATATAAAAAAAAAACTAACATAAACATGAAAATGGTGGCACAATTTTTTTTTAAATTAGCTAGACCAATAATAATCATTGTAATTTTTACAACTCAGTTGTTAATCAGTGCTAAGATAAAACAAGCTGCTAGGTTTTGTTATCATAAATGAGATTTTCGTTAAGGAATTCAATGGATGTAGGTAGATTGTAGCTACTGAGAATTTCAATATGATAACAATACAATAATAATGTACTGCCTACCTAACATGTTTTTTTTTATCAAAATGGTAAGACCAAAAAAAAAAACAATGTGTTCAGTTCAAGTAGTAGTTAACATTTTTTTATTGTTTATTTATTTAAAAATTAGAACTAAGACATTCTTTTTCATGTAGAGTAGTAATCAAAATACTAATTGTTTTTTATGTACCTACCTAATAACTAAAATAATCTAATTAGTTTTTTTGTTATGGTTGTAATCTAATAAGAGTACATTAAGAAGTCAGAGGGCCTGATGAAAGATTATGCAAAAGTTAAACTGATGTAAGTAATGTAACTTACACTTAGTATTATGAAATAGATATTTTCGAAGTACCTACTCAAATAAATGTATTATTTCCTGTATTTTTTAGTTTAGTTCTTGAGTATTTCATTACTAATTTATAGTTAATACTTTATTCCATTTTAGATTTCATTTCTTTAAACCTATGGCACTTTTTACATGCATAACCATACTCCTTGGAGGTGTTATGTTAATCATAACAATGTTTGTACTATGTTATCTATATTTTCAAGGTGGTTTGTAGTTTGCATTTATGTAACAAACAGATACTGAATAACTGAAAACTAATAACGTTTCTAGTCGATCTGAAACTTGGCTTGCATGATCAAAGTTCATGTGTAGTTTGATTAAAAAAATTAAGATGTTTGTGTAGATGTGTGCCACGCGTAGGCACAGTGAAAACGCTGGCGTAAACAACGTCTCGCCACATGTGCCAATACTTGAATTCTGTAGCCATCGAGACTATGATAAAGATTTATGGGATGATAACGCAATGCAATAATACTACTTATCATATCACAGACCTCCTGCGGTCTAATACTCACCCTCCGGCTAACAAATGTATCGCTGTATCCTTCTGAGACATTTTAGCGCCACAAGAATAATTACATGACTGCAAATTGCGACTGTCTATAAATAAACAAATGCACCGCTTATTATAGCAATGTCCACACTATACCAAAAACACTTTGATTATGTCAAATTAGATAGAGTTATTTCTAATTAACTTGAAAAAGTTATATTTTTATAAAAATTATAGTAGAAATTTCATGTGATCACAATAAAAATATCGGCGAAAACTTCACAGCACACAGCACTGTCGTACGTTCGTCGTCTCGTAACAATATGCACACAAACACATTTTAACACAAGTATCTCACGTGCACATAGCACTACTGCGCACACTAGTGAAAAATAACGATGACTACGTGACGTCTCGACAGTCGACACCGGCTACAGCAACTTCTGGGCAATCAGTGAATCCGGTATTTGAATTTTGTTTTGATGATTATGTGATAGCTAATCAGTATAAACGTTACATGTTACTTCAAATAAACAAAGAAATGTATAATTGTAAATACTATAATACATATTTATTATAATATGCCCGCACAATAAGACAGTGGAATTTGATCAAGCAATAATGTTGAAAAATATTTTTTTTTAATATTTTTGAACGTAGCTATAGAACAGACCGACGAGAATATCAGTTTATAATTACTGTCAAATGTTACAGAATTGACGTTTATACACAGCTGTCAGTAGTATCGTTTTGACAGGAAAAGTTGTAATTCCTTTTCGTTGCATAATTCTTATTTGTGATAATTTCCAATCAGCCGGTAATCGGTTACCGGTATATTTATTGTACCCCTTATAACTTTGCATTTATATTACTTTTTTAAAAATGTTCTCACGTCGCATTGTACAGTAAGTGGCATAAATTATTATGCACAATTTCAATGAAGTCAACATATTCACGTGATAGTCAATGATTATGATAATTAGTGCTTTCAATCATTATTTATTTCAGTTATTTTTACTTATAAACTTCGTATAATGTCGTATTGTATGTATAATTCACACGTTCCAATTATGTAAAGTGGACATTGCCCCGGGCCACTACCGCAAGGCACAAGACGTCGTTGCTTATATTGATTTGTCCAATTTATGCCATTTACAGGGCGTCGGTAGGCGCTGCTCGCCAGAAGCACACTCTCCCAGAACTGCCCTATGAATACAGTGCTCTGGAGCCTGTGATCAGCAGGGAGATCATGAGCCTGCACCACAGCAAGCATCATGCCACATACATTAACAATCTCAATGCCGCTGAAGAGAAACTGGCTCAAGCACAGGCTAAAGGTAGGTAGTATTCTCCTAGACTTGTCACTTATATGTGCATGAACAGTTCTGAGTTTCGAAATGAAATAATCACAATGTACAAATATAAGGTCAAGTGACATTTCAAATTGAGTAAAAGCATATTGTTTCTAATAGGTTTCGAGATTTTAAAGAAATAAAGTTAAAGTATATACATTTTTAATTTGGCAGCAGCAGATACGAACACAATAATAAAACTTCTAAATGCTATCAAGTTCAATGGAGGTGGTCATGTGAACCATTCTATCTTATGGCCAAACCTGTCCCCATGCAAATCTGAACCTAGTTGCGAGTTGAAAGAAGCTGCAAATAAGTAAACTTAATTTTTTTTTTGATGTTTTAGTTTGTACAGACAGTATTGTTAAATGCAGATTTATTTGTGTAGAATTTAATTGTTTATTATTTATTATGTAGTAAGTTTTATTTGTTCGTAATTACTGGTATGTAATGTACATATATATATTGATGTAGGTACTGTGTAATAAATATGAATCTCAAATGATTTTCTACGAGTTTCAACCAACATTTGGAATGACAAAAAATCTTTTTTATGTGTTGTTTTATAGTTCTAAATTGTTATGACTGTGTTCTTCAGGTGACATCGGCACAGTCATCAGTCTTGCACCCGGGCTTAAGTTCAATGGTGGTGGTCACATCAACCACACCATTTTCTGGCAGAACCTCTCCCCCAATGGCGGAAAGCCATCTTCGGCGCTCACTCAGGCTATTGAGAAGTACTAAATTATGTTTTTGGCTTGTTTTGGTATTTACATTTTTTTTGTTGTTATTCAATATTGCATTTTTTATCGGTCTTTGATAAGAATATTGTGCAGTGTTGTACTTTAGTACCGCTATTATCCAGTTTTAGCCAGTTGCCACTATCACCTTGTATTTATTTTGGAATTTATCAAAAGCAGGTGGAATTTAACAGAACCATACTGAATTAGTAAAACAGTAAAATATATTCCTGCAAAATGAACTGAATAGCAATGTTAATATTTCATACAAAAAATATGGCAACGGAAACAAAGCTTGATTTTTTCTTAAGACGAATAATGAGAAATTGGGACATATATTTAATGTTACATTAATTGGCTTCATTAAATGACAGTTGGCATGCTTTAGTTTATGTTTGATACTACTTCCACTATCAGAATAGTCGTTACTTTTATAACACTTTAGTGTAGAGAGTAGTGTGTATGTGTTTATTTAAAAAGAAACCTACTTAAATGTGTAATAGTAATTACTTTAGCTTATCATTCGCTCTTGACTTTGTTTACATTATTTTCGCATTGTTGTGATTGTTTTTTTTTTGTTTGTGGAAATAACCGCTTTACGTCAATTGCAGAGATAACCTGTGTTGGTGTGCAAAGTTTAAGACTTGTGATAATTTTGAAACTAGATAACATACACCTGATATAATTTAGTTAATTAGTTTAAAGCTTTGACTGCTAATAGAAATGAAAACCGTTTAAGGCAATTCCTCCGCTAACAACGGTCACCAGTGATACCCCATAATGTTTAATGTGATTAATGAAATGTTTTTGTCAAAACTTTCTTTAATATGAGCAAAGTGTAATAACAGAATATAAGGAGTCCTTTTGAAATACTTTCCATCAAGTTGCAGCAGAATTTCGAAATTTGATTTCTAAAGAAAAATCTCTTGTTTGAACTACAGAATTAAACATAAATTTAATTTCTGAAATGCCATCATCTAATGATATAAGATCTTACTAAATATGCAATATTTAATCACATTTTAGAGACTTTGGCTCCTGGGATAACATGAAGAACCAGCTGGCTGCAGCGTCTGTAGCTGTCCAGGGATCTGGCTGGGGCTGGCTCGGTTACAACCAGCAAATGAAGAAGCTACAGATTGCCACTTGTCAAAATCAGGATCCTTTGCAAGCAACGACAGGTATTATTAAAATACAGAATATTCATAATTAATTACTGTATCTTTGATACCTACCAAGTTTAGAGTCTTGAGTTCCATCTCAAGGTTTTCAAAAAATGTTGAGGTGTATCTTTGATTCCAAAATTGGCAGCAATTTGCAGTTGCAGCTTATTCACGTCTCATATGCTACTTTGGGGCTACATCTGGGTCGCCCAGTACGCGGCTTATGATATAGGCTTGAAAGTAGTCGGGTATTTCCGAAATGATTTTTTTTTATAGCATAAGCCGGTAAACTAGCAGACGGATCACCTGATGGTAAGCAATCGGCGCCGCCCATGGACACTCGAAACACCAAGGCGTTACAAGTGCGTTACCGGCCTCCTGGGAATTGGGATTCGAGGATTCGAGAGACGGGGACTAGGGAGGGGGTAATTGGGCCTCCGGTAACCTAACTCACACGAAGCACAACGCAAGCGTTGTTTCACGTCGATTTTCTGTGAGGCCGTGGTATCACTCCGGTCGAGCCAGCCCATTCGTGCCGAAGCATGGCTCTCCCACACGATGATTATACGCCATATGACGCCATATTTTTGTATTTAACAAGACATGAAAGTGGTTACTTGTGCTGTATAATACCTGCATGATAAATTGATGATTGTTAAATAAACAATGTATTATTTTGCAGGTCTCGTGCCTCTATTCGGTATCGACGTATGGGAGCATGCTTACTACCTGCAATACAAAAACGTGAGGGCCGACTACGTAAAGGCAATATTCGACGTTGCCAACTGGGGAGATGTCTCGAAGAGATACGAAAATGCCTTGAAGTAAAAAAGTAAAATCAAATAGCAAACCAACATCTCAATTATATTCGGTTATGCCTACAGCCATCGTCTAGATGTAAAGCTTTAAATTACATTATTCACATGGTGAACACCCGCAATAGATAGAGTCATGTGATCATAAAATAAGTTTTAGATTTTTTTTTCCAAGAACAATGTGTTTTATTTCATATCTTTTTTCTTTTACCTATCCTTTAGAAACTAAAGTATCATTTGATAACTTAAAAATTAACAGTTCCAAGAATACTGTTATTATTATGCTCATAGGATCATAGGTCAATGTACTTGGGGTTTGCAATCAAAATACATGACCTGTGCAAGTCAAGGGCCGAAGGGTCGTTAAATACCTGACCTATCTTGAAGTGTGTGTGCATGAATGCTGCCTCACAGGATTAATTAAATATGAAATTAAATGAAAAATTAAAACTAAATCATAATTACTCATGTTTTATGAGAGGTCTCACGGAACTCCGGTTTCACATGAATTATAGAGTCTATTTGAATATACCTACTATCCTATGTGTGTCTTAGGATAGTAGGTGTATTCAAATCAGACTAAATTGTTATACTTATTTGAATTTCTAATCAAATAAGTAATGGAGTTACTTTTACTGGTTAAAATATTGCCTCTTATGGTGATGGCGAATAGCGATAAAGGTCGTGGACATAAACAAACCCATGTTTAAAAAAAACGACTTCAACGAAGAGGAGAGGCTTCTTTGAAGTCTGTTAATTAATATACTCTGACTAAAACATATGTGTAAGAAAGTTTATGAAAACCGTACCTATCAAAATCGATTCAGCCAATCGCGAAACAATCGAGCATAAACATACATACAGGTCGAACTGAGAATCTCCTTCTGGTTTGAAGTCTCGGTGTGATGAAATAAAATAAATAGGAAAGTACGAAGTCGGAGCGTTGACTTAACAAAAACGTTCCTCTCCAAGTGCCGCTGCCGTCGACCGTCGTGTAACGGGTCGCAAATGTCAGATATCTGTCAAATCAGATGATTGTCATTTGGCTTTGTTGTAACTTGTGGTGTAAAATAAATAAATAAAAATTGTATTCTGAATCATTAGCAGTTAATATCTACTGTGCGGGGTTCCCGAGGATCTTCTCTTCAGATCTGTCGAGAGGTAAGTTATTTTTATGCCTTTATTTACTGTAACTTCGTTAGAGAAAAACGGGCGAGTAAGCTCGGGGGAGTGTTATTGATTTTTCAGGCTGTAGACGTTACCTACTTAGTACATGTCTTGAAGTTCGAGAAAGCTATTTCGTATACAGTTTAACGTCTCGTTCATTCCACGATCTCAAGAAAGGTACGTGTTTTGTTACTTTTTAGTTATTATTGCGAAAAATATCTCGAAGGTCGACATTTCAGTGTTTTGAAATCGACCAGCAGTTATGCTCGATGCATATCTAGGTTTTCCACTTATTTGCAGCATCTAACGTAGCACAATTGTATGCTATTTATGTTTGCATGAATTATGCTGATTGTTTTAAATTTTATTCACTATAAAACTTGAAAATCAAATTGTAAATTCAAATATTATTTTTTATAATTACCCTCCTCCTAAAACCTAATTTTATAACTTCGTTTTGCGCTTAGTACAATCGTTACATAATGCACTATTCAAATGGTAATTTAAAAAAAGAATGTAGATTAAAAATCAGTAACTCTGTAGATTAAAAATCAGTAACTCGTTAGGAATGCCCATCATACCTTTGATAGCTGGGTAAAACCCATTCAGGTCAGAATGTACTTACCTTTTAGAGCTAATTAATCCCATTAACATAACAATGAATAATGCACTTTATATCATAAGCATTTACATATTATAATGAATGAAATAATGAACCTATTTAGAATATTTTCCTGCAAATGTATCTATGGATAACCATTAATATCCTATTCCCGTTCCGTAGTAGTGTAGTGACTCATATTAGTTATTTACAGTTGTTATAGTAACACCATCCAGTTCTATAGTGAACATGTGTTTGAATGAGTCATGATATAATAATTAACTTGACATAGCTACTGTTCATCTTAGATGCTAGAATATCAATTTATGAATTAACTGACTAATACAGTATTTAAATATGTATATAGTTCATAAAGACTTCATTATTTATTGAGATTATTAGGTTCTAAGACAAGTATTTATTTCAACAAAAAAAAATAAAATAGTAACTTAAATATGAATAAATAAATACAACTTAAAATACGAAAAGCTAAAAACTAAAATATTTACTTACACCTTAAAACAAAAAAATGTTCATAACATCTCAGTAACCTGTGATGTCTGATCATTCATTCATCATGAAAATTTACAATTACTTTTCCCACCTTGGGTGGGGCAGGAGGGAGTATCACGGATTATACAGTGGAATCCTCTCTCCTTTGTATCACTCATAAACCTTTGGTCTGATTATTATATATGTTTTATTATTGATTTCATAATAGCCATATCATTTATCCTACTACCAAATTCTACAGGGATGTGAAAACCCACCCCATTCCTGCTTCAGGTCTTCAAGCCAGAGCCCTATTAGGGCAAGAAGCCACTTTATTATTGTGACTGATGATTGATGAGAATACATTCCTGCCCATTTCTGTTCATTAAAACTTGGTCTGTCGGAACAAAGATCTAAGCAAGACTCAATGTTTCATATAATTTACATTGTCCTCACATAATTAAACTCAACGAAAGAATGTAACCAAAAATTGTATTGTGAACATGATTGAAAAAGAGTAACCAATAGAGTTTCTTGCTCGTTCTTCATAGAATTCTACACTTTGGAACGAGCAAATAGCTTCACTAGAAGACTGACCTACAGACTGACATTTTTTCTTATTATTTAATCTATATATATAAAAGAAAGTCGTGTTAGTTACACTATTTATAACTCAAGAACGACTAAATCGATTTGGATGAAAATGGGCAGGGTGGTAGCTTAGAACCAGGAGACGGACATAGGATAATTTTTATCTAAAATTTTTTTTTTACTTTTACCAAAAATTACGAACGGGAACGGGGGGGGGGGAAATGGGATTGCGCGTACGAAGTCGCGGGCAGAAGCTAGTATTTAAATATTTTGTTTGGACGTTTGAAAAGTGCCTTACTGGTCTAATTGAAATAAATGATTTTGACTTTGACTTTGACTATAGCAGTAGTAACCAAAATCCTATTCATACACACATCTCGTGTAATGACTAGTTAGGAATGGTATTGTATGTGCTGTATAATAAATACCAAACCAGGACCTGCCTCAATATGGAAATTACACAATGCATGAATTTAATTACGTACCAGTTAGGGTGAGGGTTATTGCAAGAACATATAGTGTGTGTGTATGTATCATGGATTAGTATAGGGTGACCATACTTGGCTTCTAATGTGGACTCAGTTTAGGAATTTCTTTGACCAACTTCAAAAAGGATGAGGTTCTCAAATGATGCTGTAGTTTTTTCGTTTGAAATGTTGTCTTCTGACTTGAATACCTAATATTCTTGTAATGTGTAATAAATATTACCAAGTAGTACCTACTCAAGAACAATATGACCAGTCAAAAAGTAAAATTCATTATCTCCTAACTAAAATTTGAAATTCAATGACTGGATTTAGTTTAGAATTTTATAATATTTTTTCTAAAATAAACATTATTGCCATGAAATTAAACTTCTAATTCAGATTTTCGACCATGAACTTTAACAGTTACTTCGGTATTTTTGTAAGCGAATACTGTTATTTTAACGGGATTTTATTCACTTTCAAAAAAGTTGTAAGTAATATTGTTTCTATTACTCCACATCTTGACTTAAGAATCAATTTTGTATAACAATAATTTCGTAATAAAATAATAATAATATTTTCCGCATAATGCATTGCACTGTCTTTAAAACTAACGGAAGGTTTATGGGGCGCCTACCGCGGCGATGGTTTATCAGGATCGGCGCCGCACGCGATCCAGTTGCCGGTTGCCGGTGAATGCACTCCAAACTGGCGTGGAGGGGTATTCGTAATTGAGCTACAAGGCCTTTGTCTAGGATCATTTTTGTAAAGGTCTAGCTGGCGTAGGAACAGTGAAGTAATTCGTATTTATTAGCTTAGATTTAGATTAGTAAGGTGTTGTAATGGAAATAGGATAACATTTATTTTTTGGACTGCCTAGTCTACCAAGGGGTTTCAGTTACCCGTGTCTGGCACGGTATGAGTTAGATTTCGGTCTCCGAAATATTTTTGTTAAATAATTTAAAATTGTACCTATATGGAATTTGTAACATTATCGGGCGAGCATTTCTATAAAATTATATGTTCTCATGTTCAGTGATGTGCACCACTGGAATACATATGTACATTTCGCAATGAGATATATTTAATGATGTATTTAATGTTATTAGTCAAATATTTTGATGAAAATAAGAGAAATCTATTACGTGTCATTGATTACTGAGACTTTTCAGTGAATAAATCCAAATCGGTATAAAGGTATAGAATATAGGGAGATCCCTTTCTAGTTCAAAAATACATAAAGAATTCAATTAACCCACGTTCCTGCATAGGTAGAACTCAGTGGAAGGTACCATTAACTCGATAGGCGTCATTTCCATGGTAATTTACCATTTACCTGGTCTATGCAAGTACACCGTACCTACATATTATCGTACCTATTTTTGCTTCCACGCAACAGACAGTTCGATGGGTGTCGTCGCGTCAACTTTATGGTGCATTTTGATAAAGTATTGCGTTTTGTAGTCAGCACTGTACAGTTCAGATCTGGTTATTATCAATTTTCTATTAGATTATGTTTAATAAAAGACTCTCTTTTTGGACTTAAATCTTTGTTAAATGTGCATCAGAATCAATTGAATGCATATCCATATTGTCAGAACTAGTCCTTTTAATCCGTATTAAATATTAACAACCGATCAGTATCCGAAAATGACCTTTGCAGTTATGAACAGAAAACTCGTTTTGCTTTGTCGT